CATAAGCGTGAAAAAATAACTATAAGTCACTTTTCTTCGGTGCCTTTGTAACTTTGAACAGTCACTAAATGAATGGTTGTAAGTTGAGGGCTACCTACATTAAGGAGTGGTAACAAAATGGTATTTGATAAAGAAACAAAAAGAGGGAAAATATTTTGGTATTTGAATGCAGAGGGGTTGCGTTGTGTGTTCCTTTGAACTTCAAAGTGTGTCTCTTTTCCAGCTATGTGTCATCTTTGGTTTCTGTTAAATCCCCCGAAGAGATCTATAGGCAGCAGGAGATTGTGGTGCTCTTCTGTGAAACCGTGGCTAGGTGAGCATTTTGACCCAGCTTCTTCAGTCTCTGTAGTCTGGGCCAGCACATATGTAATACAACAATACTAGTCTTTGTAAGCAAATCTTTAAGCATTCCTTTGGATAACTATCTTGGCACAATGTACATTCAGAATAATCAGTTGGGATTTAGACATATCCACATATTTATTTCTAATTCTCTGCCTCTTCATTCTCTTGCCTACCTAGAGCTTTGAAACTTGGCTACTTGACTCAGGAGATGATTGATGGATATGAACCCCAGCTGATGTTCACCATTCCCCGCCTAGCTATTATTAGGTAAGTGTTTAGTTATCAGCTGGTGTTTGACTACCCAGTCAGGCACCTACAATATGGAAATTATAGAAGCAGACTTCTGTAGGTTGGAATTCCTAAAATGTTGGTAGTTCTAATGATCAAAAGTAGCATCATGCATATATTCCTACCTAGCAGAAGAATTTGGAACAAGTAATTTGACATAACACTTACTCAGTAAATTAAGTTATTACGCTGGGTTCAGATTTGGGTGTTTCCTTGTGCTTTTCTGCATTGTTGACATTAATCACCTGATTTATATCTAAAAATTGTCATTTCATATAAAACTTTGGGAATCTGTTTCCTGGTTTAAAATTTATATAGTAAAGGGTCCAACTTTTCTTTAAACTCACTTGAAATTTTCTTGTGATATATTATTCCCCTGGCATAGCTCTTCATCTGAAAATCACATTTCATGTTTTTGTAATCTTCATCATGCATATGAACTTGTTTCTGCTTTTTAAAGCAGAGGAGTCTGCATATCGGATTTGTTCCTGATATAGCAAGGACCCCACTGATCTCTTAACACTGCCATTGAGTTATTCTTGGTAGCTGGTGTAGAACATGAACTGAGATTGTTAATTCAAATTTTCTGGATAGCTCTCTTTTCAAACAGCCCTCTTGCCTACCTTTCCTGAGGGGCTAAGGATGGAAGAAATGGCAAATGTTTAATTGGGTTGGTTTTTCAAAAACAAATTTTATTTTACTATGGATCCTTACTAAGATAGTATTTGCTGATGGCAAATGTATTCATTTCTGGTTCTGCGGAATTCCAATTAAATGGTGTCTCCTATCTTGGCAAAAAGCAGTAATGCTACTTCTATAAGATGCATTATAGTCAACAACAAACTCTGTAAGAAATGGAAGGGCTTAAGAAAAGTAATTCTGAAAGTTTATTTATGAAAGGCTTAGACAACTTGGTGTACTGTACAGCTTTTCTTATTTTATTTTAAAAACTTATATAGCTATGGATTATAACCACAATCCTGGACAAATCACAATAAAAATAGCAAAACAACCAAACAATCGTAATAAAAACTCTGGTACCCCTGGGGCAACACTCTCCCACACATCCACATATCATCTTTTTGGGTTCATTCTACACCAATGCTTGAGGGAAGTACCAGCTCTTCAAGGACTTCCAGAAAGCAAGGAGACACTTATGATGCTATTCTTAACATGCTCAAAAATGATTGCTAAAAGAAATTAAAAAAGGAGCAGTCTGGTTTTATTTAGATGTTGCTTCCCATGAGACTCTGTGTGCATATGTCAAGTACTTCTATTCTAATGGACAACGTTGAGTACCCCTAATTGGCATTTTATTTTATTGCCTTCTTTGCAGTGGCCTTCTGATCTATCCAGATGGACCCCTCAATTTGGAAAGGAGGCCAGAGGAGATTTCTCGAGTCTTCAGCCCTTTTTATGTCTTACTTAGAAAAATCAGGTATGTGATTATAGCATTGCTGTGTAGAAATACAGTTAACATTAAGGATGGGGATTAGTAGAAGATTTTGCATGCTTCCAAATTGTATATTCCACAGAACTCCAGGTATGTTTTTCCTGGACCAAAGCACTTCAGATTACAGCCTAAATTCTTTCACTTAGGATAACATTCTCCATATCTAGTAATTAAGTACAAGAGAGAAATGTAGTTTCTTGTATATCTGTTTTCACTGGTTGAATCGTTTAACATAAACATGCGTTTAAAAAGGGGGGGGCAGTATTTTTTTTTAAACTTCAGTTCTTGTTGTGTTGCTGTCTGATGAAATGATGCAACCCCAAATACATTTTAACAGATAAAAATTTGCCATCAAAGTTATCCACTTTAAGGTAGTCCTTAGAAGTAGGAGGCAATGTCTGTAAAAGTGACTTTCTTCTCTAGATAAGAGTTAGCAGAAGATGAGGTGAGGCATTCCGAAAATGAAGTGTGATCATATCATGGAGAAATGCAGTACTTTACTGCTTCAGTGGGCTGCAGGACCAATATGTTATGTATGTCATGAGCAGTGGTAGGATTCAGCTGGTTCGCACCACTTCGGCAGAACTGGTAGCTAATTTTTTGTTGCCCAGGCCCAGAATGGACTTCCGGAAGCAGCATCCACACAGAGAACCAGTTGTTCACATATTTGAACCCCACCACTGGTTATGAGCCCCCACCCTGTTTTTCTTCATGCTTAGCTTTGCATTTCTTTTCACATTATACTATATGGACCATTCGGAGCAGCCATTCCTTCCAATGTATTGTTGGAACACACCTGTCCATCCTGTAGATTAGGATCACTTAATTTTTTTGCCACTTATGTTTCCTTCATGGACCCTTCCTCTTACAGGGATTTGCTTCGTGTGCTGTCCAAGGAGGAGTTGTACAAGCTGGAGAAACGTGTGCTGAATGAGTGCACTGCAGATTCACAGCCCTGCAGTAATAGGGACTCTCCAGATCTCCAGAATTTTGCATCTCAGTGTACCTGCCCATCTGTCCCAAGGTGTGACTAAGAACCTTCTCCTCCCCTGCAGTCTCCACCAACCCATTTGAATGTGTGTTGCCTAACTTCAGCTTATAAATTGGGAGTACTATTCATATACAGCTTGCTGAGAAAGAAGTTGTCTTTTGTGGCCATCAAAAGACCAGGACCAGGAAATACTTTGTAGTATGCAGTTAAATGGGAAGTTTTTGTCCAGTATTAACTACTTGAGATGAAGGGGGTGAGTGGATAATAGGAGCTGTCAAATAAAGGGAAGTTACAGGCTGAAGCCCATTTGATCCACAATCTTATCCCTTGCAGTCTAATCTGGTAATGTCTCTCTTTCCTAAACAAATATGTAAAGAGTTATTTTCATCTGCCCCCAAGCTAAAGAAGAGACACAATGTGTGCAAAACTTTATTCCGGTAGTTCCTTGATTGGCATACAGATTTTTAAAGGAGGGTATGGTTGACAAGCAATAGTAAAAATAATATCTTTACATTTTTTCTAAAGGCTTGTTCTCCTCTTAACAGGCCTTTGGTGCAGGAATCTGATAGTGCTCAAAGAAGAATGTTCACAGATGTTCCACTGAATTCTCGATGGTTGGAATTACGGGGCCGTTACCGCAATACAGAGGACATGATTCACACATTATTTGTCTGTATTTCTGGTGAGTGCTTCATTGCTTGTATTCTATAATATGACGGCTATTAGCTTGTGTGGAGCACTTTGCAAACTAATGATTAAACAAGGGTATTTTGCTTTAAGCCTCCCACAGTCATTTAGAGTGGAGCAACACAGAAATGTCAGGACTAATTAAGGATATGGTTCTCTTCAAGCCATCCATCACTACCACGGTCAACTTTTACTGATAAGATCAGTGACTGAGAACTATTTATGCTAGGAACAAGTATAAAGCCTATTAAAGTGATGAGGTATTTCCTTTTGGAAATAAATATACAGTATAACAAGTTCAGTGTATCAAATAAATGCCCTCAAATCTGATGAATTGTTTGTAGCTTTTTTGTAAGAATTAATGGAGAGAAGAAAAGAACTGAATGAAAGTCTTACTAAAATGAAGCAAAGTTCCAAATAACCAAGGCTTAGCCCAGTGGTCCCCAACCTTTTGGGCACCAGGGACTGGTTCTGTGGAGAGATGTTTTTTTTCGCAGACCGGAGGGGGCATGGTTTCACATGTTGCCTGCATCCTGCAGATGGGGCTTTGCGCAGACCGGTTTCTGGCATGCTGTGGGCCTGTACTGGTCCACAGACCAGGGGTTGGGGATCCCTGGCTTAACCTACAGTTAACCTTATCCATGTTAGGAAAATAAAATTGGGCAGATCCATATGAGGTATGTTAGAACAATGCGCTCAGTTACTTCCTGCTTATATCTCCGAGACCGCCTCCTGCCGCAGATTACCCCCCATCGGCCTGTACGCTCCCACAGAGTGGGTCTCCTCAGGGTACCGTCGGCCAGACAGTGCCGGCTGGCGACCCCAAGGGGGAGGGCCTTCTCTGTGGGAGTTCCCACCCTCTGGAATGAACTACCCCCAGAGATCAGGGTGATCCCTGATCTCCCTTCCTTCCGCCGCGCCCTTAAGACATGGTTATTCCAGCTTGCGGGACTGGCCTAGGGGAAATTTTTAGAGGGGGTTTTAATTATAATTTTAATTAGACCAATTATTAATATTTGCCTTTTAATTAACTTTTAAATTTGTAGTCTGATATTTGTATTTTTTATCTGGTTGTTAGCCGCCCTGAGTCCGTAAGGAGAAGGGCGGGATATAAATTTAAAAAATAAATAAATAAATAAATAAATAAATAAATAAATAAAATAAAAGGGATTTGTTTCAAAAATATTAATTATTTGTTGTACTAGTACTTACATTTTGCTTTTTTCTTTAGTTTAGAAATCTTTTACAATCATCTTGTAAGAATGGCTAGTACTACCCGTAAACGGCAAAACTGGGGTTGAGAATAGATTGCTTAATATGTTTGAATTGGGTACATCTCAGCTCATTTTAGCATTGCACTGATTTTCTAGTTTGTCCCCAAATAATGTTTAAATGTATTTATTTAAACCATTGTATACCATTTGTCTTTTCTAACATGCTGATCTATTTAGAGGTTCAAATGTTTGCTTTGTTTTAAATAATTTAATAAAAACAGGGCATTTTGTATTGATTACATTCAAATAAAAGTATTTGCTTATTGTGTATTTTGTTTTATTATGAAAGGAGTGTTTTGTACCAAAGTCTGCCATTATCCCCTCCCCATGTGCAAGTGAAATGCTCAAAATGCTGTGTTTTGGCAGGAGTGGCAGACCAGCTCCAAACTAATTTTGCAAGTGACCTGCGCAGCATTCTGAGGAGTGTCTTTAAAATTGTGACATCCCAAGTGGAAGAATTGGAGGTGACAGACACTGGACGTGAGTGAATCTCCTTTACTAATCTATAGCTCCATAACCTTCTCACCTTGTGCAAAGCAGCATGGGAAGAAGATGGCATGTTATAATGAGGGCATACAGTGCTGTTCCACAAAATTACCAGGTTCTGAGGTAGGTTAGTGATGCATCAGGATTCGGGATTCTGTAACACTTAGATCAGTTTCATTTAATTAGCAGGATACCTGTAGTTAATAGGATTCCTTGCTCCAGGCAATTCATTAATCATCTTCCCTTGTTGCTTTCTTTCAGTTGGGAAGCATGTGCATGAGCATTCAGTTGGGAAGCATGTGCATGAGCAAAGTAAAAATATCAGAGATTCTAAAAAATAATAATGCCAGAATAAAATCCCCTAAAAGGTTCAAACAAGGAAACTTATTTCTCATATTTGTTATATGGAGGGAAGAGCTAGGAATGTTAAGAAAAAATGTATGCAGTAAAAATGGAGTATAAGTATCCTCATTCAACAACTCTAATCAGGACCAAAATTTCCATTAGTAAGCAAAGCATTTCTTAAGTGAAACATCATGTGACTGCACCATGCAGTGACATCAGTTCCAGGAGTCCTGGTTGTGGTTATTAGATGAGGACCAACAGTCATTTGGCAAAGACTTCATGTTTCTCCTGCCCTGTGTGCTCACCTCACCTTCAGCTTCCCCTACCCATTTATCTCCCTCCCATCTATGCCCTTTTGGCCCCTTTGCACTCCACCACCACCTACCACTGCTGGCCACAGCTGATCTTTATGGTCTTCCTCCGTTGCTGACAAGGGGTGCCCAATAGCCCTTCACAAGGCCCCATGAGTTGAAGCACATGCTGTGCTCATCAATGCAGGCAGACTGCCAAGCACCCAAATTTTGTCTATGTGGCTGTGAGGGTGCTACTATGCCCATAACTTCAAGGATAGTCATACAATAACTACCATTTGTTCAGTGTTGTTGTATCTTCAAATGGTCACTGAATGAGTGCTCAGTTAAGTGAGGACTGCCTGAATGTAAGTATGCATAGTAAAACCAGAGATAGGGCAAAAAAACCCTAAACAAATGTGGATGTATACAATCATGAACCACCAGCGGAAAGGAAATACATTGAGTTGGTTTGGTCACATAGAATTAATGAAGATGAGATTGCAAAACAAATACATGAAGGAAAAGTGAATAGGTTGAGAGGAAGGGGAAGGCCGAGAGAGTCATAGTCAGAGGGGGTTGATGAGAAAAGAGTTGAGAAAAACAAAGAGCAATTATAAAAGAATGTATGAATGTACAGAACTGAGGGTGGTTTGCAAAGATAAAAGGATATGGAAAAGTATAGTGAATAGTATACATAAAATAGTTTTAGTTATGTTTCTTTTTCATTTCTTGCCTTTAATTTATTCAGTTTACTATTTCTTATGTCTTTTCCTCTCTCTACATATTTTACTTTAATTAGTACGTATATATATATATATACACATACACATCCTAGTCTTTTTAAAAAGTCGGTGTGAACCAAATTTAATAGTTTTGCCTAATAATGGAGGAAGCTTCCTTTGCCTTTTAAATGAATTATTAGACCATTTCAGTCAGTTTTCCTAACTAGCAGGTTCAGAAAACTATTTTTAAAAATGATTTAAAAACCTCTTTCTCAATATCAAGGATGAAATTGACTCCTCCAAGGCATGTGCAAGGCTGCTTTATGAATCTTTCCTTTTATATGTAGGTTGACCTCCTTCCCTTCTTTAAAAAAATAACGGGCAAACCTACATGAGAGTATAAGTTCTGGGGATGGCTATTACTGTTTTACTTGCTCATTATTTGGAACAGATATGTTTCCGTTAACTGGCAGCAGCCCTGTACGCTAATATCTTTTCCCCTTTCAGAGTTGGATGTCTGTGTGGTACCAACAGCGCCTTTCTTGACAGATTGTGCTCTCTGCTCCAGCACCAGGCAAGGTGTGAGGAGAGAAGGTAAGGGTTCCAAGCATGGGATGACTCCTCTGAAAGCCCGTAATAAGCAAGGGTTCTGCCTCTGATGACCTTGTTCACAAAGCGGTTGTAACCAATATTTGCAAGAGAAAATGTTGCTATGTTTAGGAATAATCTAGGGTCACTACTGAGACTCAGTTTGGGGTTGTGGTTAAAGTACCAGGCTAGAAACTGGCAGTTCTAGTCCCACCTGAGACCCAAAGCCAGTTAGGTGACCTGGGGCCAATCTTTCTTTCTCTCTCTGCCTCTCTCTCTCTCTCTCTCTCTCAGCCCTAGGGAGCAGGCAATGGCAAACCACTTCTGAAAAATATTGCCATGAAAATTGCAGGGAGTTGTCCAGGCAGTAACCAGGAGTCAAGACTGACTCGAAGGTGTGCACGTGTACACACAAACTGAAATATATTATCTGATAAATGAAGCTTCGCTTGTCAATAGTTCATAGTCCATTGAAATCTTACAGAGGCATTTCAGTCTGATGTCCTGAGCTGTATTAGTTTTTCCTGTTCTGGAACTCCCTGGATTTCCCTAGGTTTTTGCTTCCTTAATCTAGGTTCTTCTCCATTTAATGAGCTCTGTTCCTGACCATTCTGGGATATTTAGAGAGATAAGATAAGATAAGATAAGATAAGATAAGATAAGATAAGATTTATTGTCATTTTTGCTGTGGGCATGACACACATCAAAATGAAATTTAGTTGACCACTCTCAAAGTGAACATATACATGACACACACCTAAACATACTATATACAACATATGTATAGACCTACACCCCTACATATACATAACATATGAATATTAAACACTGTCCATCTTGAATATATAACTGAAGGAGGAAGCTTGAGAATTCACAAGGTTTATACTGTATGGAACGAAACTTAGCATTTGGAAAATGGGGAAAGGGAGGTTTATGATACTGTCTGGCTTTAGAAGATTGATATACAACTATAGATATACAATTATCTTGCCAACAGCTCTTCTGTTCCTTTACAGATACTTTGGTGCCCCCAGACTGGGTACCAGACAGCACTTCTAGCCATTGTATGGCTTGTCATGTGCCTTTCACTTTTCTTCGGCGACGGCACCACTGCCGGAGTTGTGGGAAGGTAAGAGACCAGGGCTACTTTGGAGTAGATCCAAACAGCATGAACCAGGAGTCAAGAATGCTGGGAGCTGTAGTTCAACATCTGGGGGGCCAAAGGTATTCAGTTCTTGAATCATTACTTTCCAAAAAGATCCTTCCTGTGTCCGGAAGGGGGATTGGAAATGCAGATCTCCAGGTGAGACAAACTGAAAGAGACAGTCTATTCAGGGGTTGGTGACTGAGCTACCAGGCAGTCAAGAGCAGTAAGAGAGAAGCAATGGAGCAGCCTATCATGTAAAAGAAAGGATTAAATTGCAGCTTGTTGGGTATTCCTGTGTTGGGCCTTAAATTGAATTATGATTGGGTGTTAGACCAGGGTTATTGTCCTTTTTTACCTCAGTCTGCTTCATTGGCTGTTCTAGTTATACATACATTCATTACATTCAAGTTCATACATAGGTTCATTATTACTTTCTTTCATGCAAAGGAAATGAGGCTTGTTCTCAAGTTGCTTTTGGTGGACATATTTTTTTTCCAGATCTTCTGCTCCCGTTGCTCATCCCACTTGGCAGCACTGCCCCACTTTAGGCATCTGAAGCCAGTCCGCATCTGTACACACTGCTACACTACCCACTTGCCTTCCACGAATAAGAACGCCAGTTGCCTGTGAGCATCAGTCTCTGGATGAGGGCTTTGTTGAATGCCATCTGTGCCTGAGGAACCTCCAAGAACTGGAAGACAATTGCAGCTTGCCTCACCAGCAAAGGGTTATGGGAGCAATCACACCTGTCTTACTAGGATTCTCCAGGGGGTGAAGCAAAGGGCTTTTTGTTGTCAGGCAAGAGTTGGGTTGGAGGCGGAAGCACTATGTTCTTAAAAGAGGGAATGAACTCTTGCATTTTTATATTGAAGAACTCTTGGGATTTGTGGGGTTGGAACTGCACTCTATCATTAAAGAAGTCTGAACAAACTCTTCTATGTGCTAATAAAGCTGGCTTTTTCTATAATGGAATGATGGCCCATGTAGAAATTACTTGGTGCTATTTACCTGACTTCTGGTAGAACCTAAGAATAATTTATTGTCCTAAGGTTAGCTGTTAACCAAAAAAAGTGATATTGTGTTACCAGATTTGGATGAATGTGCAATAAGGGCTTGAGGATACTTTTGGTTGGAACTGAAAGGCAGGACCTGGATTTCCAACAATAGTTTGTGGAGGACAGCCATGAGTTTTTGCTTTTCAGCTCTTGATGTACCTAAAAGCTGCAACACTGTTCATATGCAATGTATATTTGTAAACTCTTATGCCACATTGTGGAAACCTATCTGGGATTCATACAACTCTTTCTGAAATCATTATGAGCTGGTTATCCTGAAAACTTGCCTAGACTAGAAGATATCTATCTATCTCTATCCATCCATCCATCCATCCATTCATCCATCCATCCATCCATCCCAGAAGAAGGCAATGCAAATCATTTCCATAATGCTGCCAAGAAAACTGCATAAAATCAAGTCTGACATGAATAAACTAACTTTTTACTTGAAAAATGCTGTCTGTTGCTATTGCCATCTTGTGTACTCTGAGTTCAAAATAAATGCTTTTACTGGATTTAGCTATTGGGTTATTGTTGGGTTGTTGACAGACAGAATCTGCTGCTGCAAACACGGACTCTACAAATCTTGTTACTGTGCTGTTTTTCTTTTCCCATCTCATTTCAACCAGAGGATTTTGTGTATTTGTCAGCTTGTGTAAATGTGGGTGACTGGTTTTGGCTCTAGTGCCTTATGTGCTAGATAATCTCTTTGATGTCAGTTGAATAGCAAGTACCAGTATTTATTAACTGCACACAGTTGTATGCTTGCCTTCCAGCCCATCAGTCATGCAAGAGAAACTTAAAGGGGAGCTTAAACCACCTGCCTAGCATGGGAAGAGATTTTGACATTTTCATACTTGAATATTATAAGAACGCTATATTATATTGTTGACTGAAGTAGTACATAGATCTCTATTAACAGTAACGTGGAAACCAGCTTTTCAATAATCTTTCCCTTGCTCGTTGTTTTTCTTACCTAAGATCTGCACAATTTGTTCATAATAGAGAAATTCCCTATTTTCTGATGATTTACCGCTGACTGCATTGCTGATATGCAACAAAGAAGTAGTGTCACTCTGGTTTTAAAAAATGGAATTTATAACTGAGGTCCAAATAATTCTTTAAAAATATCCAAGCCATATTCATCTACAGCAGCGGTTCTCAACCTATGAGTCGCAACCCCATTTGGGGTCGATCGACCATTTCACGGGGGTCGCCAAGCAAGGCTGTCTGCCATTTTTTTCCCCTTTTCCGGTGGGTGCCTTACCTCCTTTGGGCTGGGCCAGCTGGTGGTCGGCGTGCTCCGTCTCTGCCGCTTGCCAGCTACGCCTCAGCCGGCGCAGGGGGCGGAACCACGCATGCGCTGCGCTCCCAGGCAGGGAAAGTCCTCGACTTACGACCGGTTGGTTAGTCCTCGACTTACGACCGGTTTAGTCCTCGACTTACGACCGGTTTAGTCCTCGACATATGACCGGTTGGGGGGGTCGCGGCATTAAAAAGGTTGAGAACCACTGATCTACATATTCATTTGCAATTCAGAAATGTATTGAGATGAGTGCAAGGCTATGATGGAATGTGCACCTGGAACAGGGGTGGGCATGGGGCCACATGAGAAACTGAGACTATTGTCGAGGGCCAAATCAAGAGATTGAACTTAATTCTGCTGCTGGCGCCCATTTGTTAAGGGAGAAGGGAGTGCAGAGCTTCACCTTGCTTAGCTTTTCTCTCCCCAGCCAATTAAAGGAGTGCAGTCTGCTGCTTCTCCTGTCCCCTGCGGCTCGCTTATTTACATTTTATTTTCTAATTTCCAATTGACCTCATGCAGGCCAGACAGAGACAGCCAAAGGGCCGGATGTGGCCCGGAGCAGTAAAATGTCTAGGTCTGATCTGGAGAATCGGTGAATAGGAGTTTGGGCAACAGAGCTTTCCCAGGAAGAGGGCAATAAATCTTATCAGAGAGAGGCCCCATTCCCCCCTGGATGGGGGAAGTTCAGTGTAGACCCTCTCTAGAATCTCTCAGGATATATCTAGTAGGGTAAAAAGTTATGGCTTTAATCTGACAAGATTTTGTCCATTAGGTGTAAACAATTAAAATATTGGACTGGATTAGATTTTGCTGTGTTACATTTGGGCTTGGGCCAGACAATGGCTATGTTTAAACCAATAAGAGAAAAACAGCATTGGAACAGAGTATAAACTTTAATATGCACCCAGTGTATAGACATGCAAATACATATCCATTAAGATACCGTCTTATTTCAGATTTGCCATTTCCCATATTGCAGCTGCATGAGAACTTGTTTTTTCACTGAAAAATATGACATATTACAAGCAAACTCATCCCATTCAATTTTTTTAAAACAATGTCCAATGAGAAGAAAGAAGATACATGATTGCACATTTCATTGCACACCCTATGTTTACAGTTTTATGTTTCAAAGATGTGTTAGGGAGTGCAACCTGCCCTCTACCATTAATTAAATACAATCAGTTTGGCTTCTAAAATATATTTACACTAAATCAACAATATCCAACCTTTTTGGTTTGCCTGGGCCACATTGAGCAAGGAGGAATTGTCTTAGGCCACATATAAAATATATAATTAATGTATACAAAGAACAAACTTCCTTTATTTTGGAGAGTCTCATGGGGCTGCCTTACCAGCTGTTCAGGACATGCACTAGATTTAATCATCAGAGTTTTGCCTCTCTGCTGAATAAAGTTGCTTCTGGATTGCTGCTTTGTTTCCCTCATATCTTGCCAGCTATGCCAGGACCAACTCAGTTTTGTTCTGTAACAAATAATATTCCTCCACCCACACATTCCCAAATACAGAACCATGGCAGCTGAGACAGAATATCTTCAGAACATCTCCTTGCAAGCAACAAGGATACAAAAATAATAAATAGCTAGCAATAGATGTAGCCTTTCATGATTCCTACCATGAGTTGCCTAAAGTGATTCCTCATTCTGCCTATCATTCGGTCTATGAGTATAAATTGGAATGGTGTGCTTTTTCTACAAAAGGTAAATACAACTCCATGCTACAATTATTTTTAAAAATAAAAACACTTCTGTACAGGAAGCTGTGTTTATGGATGATGATAATAATTTATTAAATTTATATACTGTCTGACTTCTTGCAACTCTCATGATCCGTGGAATGCCTGAAATTTAAACTAAGGTTGCAATCCTATACATGAGAAAGTTTAAGGGTTACATCTGAAGGTAAGATTATGTTGTGAATTTGTAGCAGGGTTTTTTTTCTTCTCAGCACCTATTAATAGTGCAATTTGAGAATTATAATCAAGCATTGCTGGAGATCAAGTAGAATCATATGGCTTCTGGATCTTTTATAGCAGGGGTCTTCAAACTTGGCCCTTTTATGACTTGTGGACTTCAACTCCCAGAATTCCTCAGCCAGCGTGCCTGGCTGAGGAATTCTGGGAGTTGGAAGTCCACAAGTCATAAAAGGGCCAAGTTTGAAGACCCGTTTTATAGCAACACCCAGCCTTGTTAAGGACAAATGAAGTTTGTTTCTATTACTGATGTATCACCAGCCCAATGTTGTCTGAATTATTCCATAGAATAGATTATAAATGTGTATTGCTTAAAGGAGAGCAGGTTGTCTCATGTGTATGATTCTTCCCTGCTAAATATTTTTTTTCTCCGTAAAAGTAGTAAGGTATACGTTGATCATTTTTTTCTAACTTGGAACAGAATAGCGAGCACGTACATCCGCGGATGAGCATATCGGCGGCCATTGTTAACGTGGAGCAAAATTACTCAAGACCAAACCGATCAAGGGATATTTTACCACGCTCTTTTTTGTTTCATTTACTATGTACACACATAAAGTCTGTAACTTACAAAAGCACAAGTCTCTCATTTATAAAACCGAGCTGTTCCAAAGTAGTATTAAAACGCGTCTTGTGATATTGCCTCCAACCAATAAGGAGAGCGCAGGCCCCGCCTTCCGTTCAAACATAAAGACTTCATCATTACCCGCCCGAATTTGTTTTGGAAAGGGCAGGGATGGATAAACGTCTGCTCACATCTTCCAACCAATGAGAGCGCCGGTTTCCCTAGCCACGCCCAGCACAGTTTAAGATTCAAAACAAGGCAGCGGGAACGCCCTGAGCCTTAAAAAGCGAGGAGGGGGCTGAGCATCTCGGTTCCGACACGAAAAAGCCCGCTTAGTTTCATCCTTCTTGGTTTGCGCTCTCTGGAGGAGGCCCACGAAGGAATAGCTGCCGCGTGGATAAGAAGGGGCGGAATCGGAACCTCGGGAGTGTTCGAAGGGGCGGGATTACGGCCAGCGTTGGTTGCCGAAGGCGGTGGGCCGGTTGCGTTATCAGGGTTACCAAGTCCTTATTTGCGCGGGTCCCCGGTTGTCATGGAGCTCATTACCAGCAACATTCAGGTTTTGCTTCAAGCGGCCGACTATTTGGAGCGCAAAGAGAGAGGTATTCATTCTTCTCCAGGGGCGACGCGTCTACTACGGCTTTTACTGGAGGGCGGCCGAATTGGGTCTCCTTAGGGAGGAAGAGAGCGAGTGGGCGGGCGGGCGGGCTTAGGGTTAGGAAAAGCGGGGGCAGATTGGAACCTCTAAAACACGTCTCTATCTGTCTGTCTGTCTGTCTATCTATCTATCTATCTATCTGTCTATCAATCTGTCTCTGTCTGTCTATCTATCAATCTGTCTGTCTATCTATCTATCTATCCATCTATCAATCTCTATCAATCTGTCTGTCTGTCTCTGTCTGTCTATCTATCTGTCTGTCTGTCTATCTATCTATCAATCTGTCTATCTATCCATCTATCAATCTCTATCAATCTGTCTGTCTCTGTCTGTCTATCTGTCTATCAATCTGTCTGTCTATCTATCTATCAATCTGTCTGTCTGTCTATCTATCTATCCATCTATCAATCTCTATCAATCTGTCTGTCTATCTGTCTATCTACCTACCTACCTACCTACCTACCTACCTACCTACCTATCTATCTATCTATCTATCTATCTATCTATCTATCTATCTATCTATCTATCTATCTAATCATTATCTATCATCTATCATTATCTATCTATACCAGAAGCCGAACATGGCTATGCTTCTCTCTCGCCTTACTGCGGACAAGATACGTTACAATCGCAGAGGAGGCCGAAAACGCAAAAGGCCCTCAAAAACTTCCGGTAAGCCTTCTTCAGTTAGAGACTTTGAGCAGTTTTATTTTACCCCTTTTCTTACACGAGGAGGAGCCTGCCCGGATCTGGAAAACTAAGTCTTGTGAAAAGGTTGCATTTCCTTTAGGCAAGCGGTTCTTAAAAGTGTAGTCTGGGGACTCTTCTAGGGGGAAGTCAAATACTTTTAAAAGTTCTTAGTTTTAATTTCTAATACAGTAAATATTGATTATACATTACCCACAGAAACCAAAGCTCTTTGGGTCCTCAAACATTTTGAACAATGTAATGGAGTCCGGAGACCAGAATTTGAGAGCCACTAATTCTAGACCAAGTTTTTGTCTTTATAAGTTTTAGTTTCATTTCTTTCACTATAAGTACTTGGAAGAGCACTCACATAAAAGGAAGGTACAATTACACAGGAGTGTAATAACCAAGCCTTTCCAATTGAAAGAAAAAGATATAGTCAAAAGGAAGTAGAGGCTGGGTGTACAATTTAAGCAGGATTTAACTGAATGGATAAATATTGGGAAGTATTTTATTAGTAGTAATTATATTGACTAATTTAGGAAAACAAGACAAATTCCTTTAGAGCTTCTGAATGACTAAGGTCAGTGGTGGTGAACCTATGGCACAGGTGCTAGAGGCGGCATTCGGGGCCCTCTCTGGGCATACGTGCTGTTGCCCCAGGCTTGCCTCCCCCCACGACCCCATCCTCTCCAGCTGCCCCCCTGAAGGAGACTCGCCCTTGAGTGTGGCCCACACGGAGCAGCACAGCCAAGAACATGGCAGCCAGGCAGTGTAGACAAGACTCTGCCCTCACACCCCATCATGCAGTTGATGCTGTAGGGTGCGGGCAGAGGGTGTGGCCGCCATAGCGCTGCTGGGCTGCCTGGACAATCTGGCGGGCCCTGGAGGCGGTGAGTGATCCTGTGGACGGGCTGGGCGGAGGATGGGGGGGCAGAGCAGGGGCGGGCCCAGTTTTGGGGCACTCGTTCTCTAAAAGGTTCGGCATCACTGACTTAGGTGCTTCATAATGCCTTTTCAATTGAAAGAACAAGATACAATCAAAAGGAAGGGGAGGTTGAGTGAAATTTAAGCAGGATTTAACTGAAAGGATGGCTGTTGGAATATTAGGACGTATTTTTTTTAATAGCAATTAGATTGACTAGTTATTCCTTTAGTGTTTCGAATGATGTGTCATAATACTTTTCCATTTTGTACTGAAGTATATATAGACTTGGGTTTAAATCTTTGACTTGACTTTGAGTCTTATAGACTTCATTATATCATACCAAAACATTGAAAGATGTATAGTTCATATTTGTTTATTTCTTTTAAAGTTGTGCAGTGAATGATGTTACTCCTTAATATTTACGTTACTGGTATTCATATTTTTATCTGATTTTGCCACTATTGCATAAGCACAAGATTTTGTCTTCTAGCAAATCCAGCAAGTTTTTGTTTTTCTTTTGAATGGAAAAGATTACTGGCCCATCTTACTTCTTTGCACAAAAGAGGAAGGTTGAAATAGAACATTTCGGTGTGACTGAATGTGTGCTTAGTTTGCTTCATTGAATGATGTGAATGGAAGAAATTCAGTTTTTGGAATTCTAACTATATCTCATTATTTTTGTTTTGTGTTTCTATTTCCTTTCAGGTCTGTACACAATGAGCTGGAGAAACACAGGTACACTTGAGGAATATTGTTGTAATTGGTTTTTTTTTTTTTTTTAGGCTCCTCTCTCCCACATTTTATTGGCTGGGGAGGAAGGATGGACTAATTTCTGCCTGGTCCTAGTTATATTAATAACTAGGAGCCCCAATTCCTCCATCAATTTTGAGAGTTAGTTTAGGCTCCAGGGTCATCATTTAAAAATGTTTTTCTTTTTCTGAACCAGGAAATGACCTTTCGGTGTTCTTTCTTCCATTTATGTGCAAGGACTTCCCTTACCCATTTCTCAATATTTCATACTATTCATATGTACATTTAAGCTGTTTACCAAGTTAATAATTTTCTAGCTTACACATCATACCATAAATTAAACAGGCTGAATTTGCATAACAAACAGAGAACCAACAAGTGTATGAGACTACTTAGCATTGGTCAAACTTAGTTTTGAGAATATGCATCTTCTTGGTCTTTATCTTGCCCTGGTAGAGATATTTTAATGAATTCAGCCCAATGAATTCATGCTCTTTGTAATTTTCCCCCATTTATTTATTTTTCCTAAATATTTTTAAGTATGTATACATTTCAGGCTTCCTTAAGTGCAGATAGCTGGTTCTCTATTAGCCCGTTAGTACTGCTGTTCTCATTTCAGGTCAATGAAACTGAACTGGGAATATAGCTGATGGTAGATAGCATTTTCTATGTATGTATTTTCAAGCTGAAATGCAGTCCAAGATCATTAGCTGTTTGTTTGTCTCTTTCATACACAACATCTCAGTGACCTGAGTTACTTATGTTCTTATTAGCAAGGGAGCATAAAAGATTCAGATTCCATGGTATACACTATTATGCCTAGTAAGACAGCGATTCTTAGATTTTCAATACTGTAATTCTATAAAATGATAAATTAATGTAGGTAATCTATCCACCCAATGAAATTACTGTGATTAGCAGATGGCTAAACCCATTGGTTTAGTTTCTTACATGCCTGAGCAAGCCTGCTGTGGGCTTGCACATGCAAAGTGTGAATGAGACTTGACAATGCCATCACTTTCAGGTCCAATTAGTTAAAAAAAAACCCTATCTCCTCTGAGTTGATTCTACCCAAAAAGTGGTGAGTCAATATGCAAATCCCTGAATTAAATGATTGAGGCCAGCCATATATTAATTATTCACTCTTTGGAAAATGTGGTTCTGGCCTTGGTCTGGGGTCTAGAATTCAATTAAGGCTTTACCTAAAATGTGATTGTCCACAATCTGCGTTTCTTCCCAGCAGAAGGGCCCAGCTACGGCAGTGTTTAGAACAGTTGAAGCAGCAAATCCCCACAAATACAGAGCATTCTCATTACACAATGCTTAGTCTCCTGCATCGAGCCAGATTGCACATTAAAGTAAGTAATGTATCTCACTTCTTCCAGGAGGCTGTTATATTGGGGATAGCTAAAGACTGCCTTTCTTAACTGGTTTAGTTGTTGGTAATTTGCAAATGGTATTAAGGTTTCAAATTTTAATATTTTATTTATTAGAAATAACTCATGGTCTTTAAAACTGAACATAGAAAAAAAGTTTAAACATCAAGTCAATAAGTGGAAATGAATATAGAAGAAAAAACTAATTTGTCATCAGAGAAATTGTAGAATGTATAAAGGAACTTCGAATCTTTGTTGGAAATGTGAACAATACGAAGGGGCATTTTATCATATAGTGGACGTGTAAAAAATGGGTACAAATAAATTAATTCAAAAGATTTTAAAGACAAGTGTACAACTGAAATCAAACTTTCTGGTTTGGGATTAATGGGTAGCTAGAAAAAAACCCCATAGAACTTGTGCTTTTATGTATGACAACTGCAGTGTGTTAAAAAAAAATTCAAAAGAGGAAAAATTTGATACTACCCACAGTAAAGGAATGGTTGGTGAAGATGACGGGACTTGCAGAGATGGCTAAATTGACTTCCTTGATTAAAGATATCTATATTTATGACCAACTGGAAACCCCTCCAGACTTTGAAATGGAAAAAAAATGTACCTATGACATAGTTTTAATGATTTGGGGGGGAAATGAATAGGAAAAGTGAGTAAGATAATTGTTACATTACATTTCTGCTGCAAAGAAAATCAAGCTTTTTTTCTGCACCCTTTTGTTTCCTTTATTTTGCATTAGTTTTTATTATCTCTTTTAAACTTAAACTTTTAATAAAATTTGAATAAAAAGAGAAAAATTTCTGACAGCCTTCAAGTAAGTTTAAGAACCAAGGAAAATAAAGGGAGAAATCTAAATCCAGCCAAGAATAACTTTTTATAATTTTTTCAGTTTTGTGTTTAGGATGGACTACTTAGCAAATGCTTCCAGCTGAATTTGAGAAAGTGGTGGTATTATTTTGTTTCCAACAGTGGCCAGTGTGATGTTACTAAGAGATATGAAATAAAAACATCTCAATTGTAACTCCGAATATTATTCTCGATCCTTCTTTCACTCCCAGAAGCTGGAACACCAGGAACAGAAAGCTCAGCAAGAGAAAGAGAGGCTACGTTGTGAGCAGCAGAATCTGCACCAGCGCTTAGAAGAATTGCAAGCCCATCTGAATATGGAACTGGCAGAAGCAGATAGCCTGGATTCTTCTCAGTTCTCCTCTGAGCATTCTGACTCAGGTGGGCAATGCCCGGTAATTAATTCTAGTGCTACATCTTCATGATGCCAACAAGTTGTGCAGCAAAAAATGCAGGGTCTGATAAGCAGAAAGTCACTGGCTACAGTGTTAATGATAAAAGTTATGGTAAATTTGGAGATTACCTAGAGTGAGGATGACTGAGCCAGGTCTATATAGGCCACATGGCTCCCAAGCAATTCTGGCCAGCCTACAACTAAAAAACAACATTAAAACAAAAAAAAAGGGAGGGAGGCTTCCCACAAGGATGGAGGCTTATGAAATCTCAGAGCAGGGGAGATCATTCTAGAGGGCAAGAATTGCAACAGTATGTGTGCTTCCTGGGTCCTGCAAGATGACTATAATTGACAGGATCCAGAATATACCTTCCTGCTGGACTGAACTGGACAGGGAGAGACAACAGGAAATAAGCAGTTCCTAGGAAAGTTGGTTATGCCTATGTTGAAAAGGAAGCTTGTATAAAAGATACTGCATTCCATTTGAATAAAGCATTATTATGCTAAGTTTTTTTTTCTGTTGCAGAAGATGAAGTGGACATAGAAGGCGTGGCATCTGCCAGCATTGGAGATGTCATGGCTGCTTTCAGTACTCAGCAGGAGCGCAGCTATTCCACTGTCAGCAACTTCTGGTTATGGACAGAAGTTCAGTTAAGAGGACAGCATTCATCTAGACAAGCTTCAAGCTTTTCAAAAATTGCTTCGTGGCAGGATAACTGATACATGGTTTATAAGACTGTTTTCTGTAAGTAAAGAGGAACCCCCTTTCTTATAAAAAAGGGACTATGCACCTCCTCATGAAACCAAGTTTTGCATCTCCACCTTTTTCACAAAACCAACTAGGGCAATTGTTAAGAGAGTTACATACTGAAGCTGGCTAACTTTACATGGTAACATGTGATGGCAGGAGGAAGAAGAGTGAGATTTTAAAACACTTGACATGCAATTGGTATGAGTAGCTGCATCTTACACCCCGTCCTAGTTAAGGTTTGTGGAGCAGGCAAGTCCATTTTGCAGAGACTTTGGCTGGTAAGACACCCACACACACACACCCCGCTGGCATTTTAAACAAAAGATACACTTAGCTTTTATCTAAAGGGGTCTAAAAAATCCATTATCACAACAGGCAAATGCTATGCTCAGTTCTTTTATATGAAATGGGTCTTGCTGTTGTTGAATGGATTGTGGAATAATAGTAAAGCTTTGCTTCAAGAGACTTTTTGCCATTGCAAATCTAGCTTTTGCTGACCTATTAAGTGACCCACTTTAAGTATTATTTAGTGGGTTTTTGATAAGTTGTAACCTAAGCACAGTAATCTGTAACATTTATTCACCAATAGCTACCAATTCTCTGAAGTCTCATATACAAAGGCTTGCTTTTGAGTTGCATAAGAGGCAAATGTAAACAGGAAGATGAAATCATTGATGAAAAACAGATCCTGATACTGAAATAAATTGAAGTCTATGGTTTTAATGATAATTACACCTTTAAGAAAGAAGATGATTGTCAGATTTGTACAGTCTCAATAAAAAAAAACATAAAATCTACAGACATTCTGGTCAAGTCCCAAAGGAAGGGAAGCTTAAGTTAAAGTGAACCTTCCAGTATTATTATACCACCCTGTGCCAGTGGCATTCTAGTTCCGTTCAGTGGGAAAACTTTTCTCACACATACTGTTGCTTTTTTGTAGTAGCTGCCTTGCCAGCAAAGTCTTTTGCCTTCTCAGTAACTGCCAAAGCGGTCTCCTTGGCAGTTTCCACTAGTGTCTTAGATGGTGCGTCACCTGTAAAATCAATAAGCCAAAAGTCCAGGAGTAAGTAAATATATCCACTGTACCTGTAAAACTCTAGTTCTTATTTTGGAAAATATTGTATAAAATTTTTAATAGTCATTACCTATGAGGAATGATTTTATATTTTTAATACTCGTAGTCCTCAACTTACAACCATTTATTTAGTGAACAAAGTTACAATGGCCCTGAAAAGAGTGACTTATGACAGTTTTTCACACTTTATGATTGTTGCAGCATCCCGATGATCATGTGATCAAAATCCAGATGCTTGGCAACTGGCTCATATTTATGACAGTTGTAATATCCTGGTGTCGTGATATTTTTTTTGCAACCTTCTGACAAGCAAACTCAATGGGGGAAACCACATTCACTTATAACTGTGTTAATAACTTTATAACTGCAGTGAGTCACTTAACGGTGGCAAGCAAAGTTGTAAAATGGGATATAACTGTCTCACTTAGCAACAGAAATTCTGGGCTCAATTGTAGTTATAAGTTGAGGACTACCTGTGGTACCTAGAACAAGTCCAAGAAAGCAATTAAGAGTGCTAATTCTACAATCTACATTTTATATACTGCATTTTTATTAGTTGCTATTAAAGGTGTACCCACCTTGCATTTTGGCCAGCACATATTCAAAACCTTTGGTAGTCTTGGTCACATTGCTCTTGAATCTAGCCAAGCCAAATTCCTAAAACAAGAGAACAGCCAGTTGAGCAAGAAACAAAGAGATAAAAATAATCTATTTATTAGGAGAGATTAAACATTGAGTAATCATCCTGTTTTTTCAGCTACATACCAGTAGTCCCAGATTGCTTCTTACAGGTTGTCTCTATCATGCATATACAGATCTGTAGCTCCCTTACCTGGATAGCACGAGAAACGCCAAAGAGACGGGAAGAGACCCAGGCTTCCCGTTTGACTTCTGTCCAGCTACTGTTTTCTGGGTTCTCTTTGTAAACACATCGCTCCTCCACTACCTGCAGGAAAGACAACATTCCAAAATAACAATCACTTCCCCAAGCCTTTTGAATCATTTTATCTTGCCGTAGTGGCTGCAGATAAATATAAAACATTTTACTCTTACCATAAGACGTGCATGATTAATATTCCAGGTGAATGTGGTCATGGTTCGATTCTGTAGGTCCACAATGGAATCTTCTAGGATATAGACATGGCGGCCAACATTAGATGGAAAGAAGTGCTCTGCCCAGCGGGGCATCCGGTTGGTTTTGGTTAGGAGCCTCCTGGAAAGCAGTTTCTGATCATCAGTCACCTCTCGGTGCAAGATATCTTCCGTTAGGACATGCTTGCTGGGCAAAACAAAAAGACAAAAAAGAATTTAAGACACTACCCTATGTTATGCAACTGTAATTAAATAGCAGCAGAACACTCCCTACTTATCTAGTGACACAATTCAGTAGAGTCAGATAATACTATTTCTAACTTTGCTACCCTATTTCCACATCTAGAATCTATTGTCAAAAGCACACCTGTCCTAATTGGGAAGGAGAGAGAAATGGAGCAGCATCACTTTCAGGTTTACTTTTGACAGAATTATAATTCTACCAGCATGCATTTATTTTGTTATTTCGGAATGCAATGGGCAAGAGAAGTGATCTCATGTTTAACTACTAGGTAGATCACCTTTTAATTATTTCAGCCAAATATATATGTTAAAGTGTGTGTATGTGGGGGGGAAGTAAGTTAAGTACAATGACCAAGATTAACCTTTTAGTTAATGAGATCAGGATAAAAGAGGCTTTTCCTACTGGCTTGAGAAGATAAGCAGTTGTTAACTTTCCTCAGGAGTATTATTCTACATTATTGGAGCATTTCCCGAGAGGGGCTCATTTTGAAAACGGTTTCTTCTAGCGCTAGTTAATCCAAGTTAAACCATTATTATTGATCATTCTTTTCCCACAGGAATTTTTGGATTTCTAAGCACAGCAGCTAAGAACCACCCCCCCAACTTCCTATTATTTCAAGCTTCCAATCGCAGTAGCAAAGCTCTCTTTAATCCCCGGAAGACGACGCTCGAGCAGCCAACAAACCAGCTCAGCACCGCTCGCTCCCTTCCTCCCTCTAGTGGGTTGAGAGGGTCGCACACCGGCCTTCGCCACTAGGAAAAAGGAGGCTTCGGCTTTTACAATCACTCCCTCCACTTCATCCATCAGCTGCCCGGGGCTTCAGGTTTAGCCCTGGGCGGAATTCCAGGGCGGCGCAGAGCTCCCCAGATCTCGACCGCAGCCGGGGCCCCACGTACTTACTCAGGAAGTAATCACAAAGCAGCTGGGCGGTTTTTCAATAGCAAGTGGGATGAATTAAGACGAGGTTTCCAAACGGCAGCCCTTTCCATATTGCCTCTTTCCATATTGCTCCGCGTAACTAGAGTTCCCTCCTCCCCCCCCCCCACAATCTCTCTTGAGCCCCCCGCCAGGAGACACGGAGGGAGCCGCCCCGCCACCGAGTGCGAAGCGGCGAAGAGTCCATTCCCGCGCGCGCGCTCCCCTGACCTGTAAGGGTTCGGGTAGCGCTGCCAAAAGGCGGTGAAGACTTGGTCCCAAGGCCCTTTCAGGACGCTCAGGGTCAGGAAGTACTTCCCCATCAGCTCCGCGGTCACCGATCCTGCGGGAGACGCAGAGGAGGAAGGAGCCGGCGCGGGAGTGGGGGGGGGGGCGGGCGGTCACCCGGCTCGCCTTGCTCCGACCCGGCTCACGGTCTCCCGCCGTCCCGTCCCCGCAACGCGGGCAGCGCTAAAGATGGCGGCAGGAGCAGCAGCTGCAGGCGCACCGCCGCCGCCGCCGCCATGCAGAAACAGGAGCGCCGCAACGACTTCCGTGGGGCGACGCCAGCGCTTCTTCCGCCGCGGCCTCCTCCCCGCCTGCTTTCAGCCCAAGCCCCGCCCTCGCTCAGAGCGCGCTTCCGCTCCCGGCGGGAAGCTCCTCCCCTTTCCCCGGGTATGTCCGGGGAAACTGCTCGGCCGAGGCGGCCCGGAAGGAAGCCGCTGGGTCGCTTCTCCTCGCTTCGTCTCCAGTAGAGGGTGGCCGGCCGCTTCCAGCGACATGAGGCCGGGGTGAGTATCGTGCAGCGTCTCCCTCGGTAGTTGCCGGCCTCGTTCAGCGCTGCTGCCCATGCTCGGGTCCTTGGGAAAGTGGTGCGGACCCGGCGCTCCGACGAAACGCTGAACGCAGCGGGCAACCCATCCTCGAATCCAAGTTAAGATCTTCCTGCTCGCGCCGCTGCTTCCCCGAGTCGATCCCTGCCTCTCGAGCTGCTGATGTTAGCGACTAATATTAGGCGAAGTCTCTGAATTGGAAGGCTAAAAAAGCTTGTGCTTCTGGGTCTGGTGACTTGTCTTCTCACAGGTACCGGTAGGAGTGTTAAATAGCGTGCTGTTGGGGTGCGAAAGGGGGCGATGGGTCTCTTGATCCAAGGCTCCGTCACTCTTGGCGGCCAAATGCGGCTTGCAGAAGGAGCAGAAGAGAAGGATGCCCTAGCTCAGTGTTTCTCAACCTTGACCATTTTAAGGCATGTGGCGGGGAGGGAGAGGAGATCTTGATGCTGCTCCCCAATCACTGCACTTTCTCCTCTCCTTGCTTCAGGTGAACTTGCCCAGCTGAGCTGCACCTCTTTGGCTGCTCCACCTGACTTGAGTTGGGGGAGCTCTCTGAAGGGCAACACTCGGCTGCGAGGGCAGGAGAATGAGCGGGCAACGCGTGGATGCCAAAGTTGTGATGCTGGGCAAAGAGTATGTGGGCAAGACCAGCTTGGTGGAGCGATATGTTCACAACCGTTTCCTTGTAGGACCTTATCAAAATGTGAGTTTTGTCTTTTTTTGTGTGTGTGTTGAAAGTTTTTTCCGTTCAATTGGACTGAGTCCTTCACAATTCCAGCCATTTCTTCCCCCAAATTTCACTCCATTTGGATTCTCAGGCCTGATTTTATTTTAACATTATAAGCAACATCTAATCAATATTAGCTGATTGCTAATATTAGATTGCTAATAATCTAATATTAATAGCTAAGCAGGGTTGGTCTTGATTGACATTCAGGTAAGAAATTGCCACTTGGAATCTCAGGGCCATTGGCTAGATTGGGAAGTCCCCAAACATCCAGGAGGAAAGTCATTTTGCTAAATGCTGCCAAGAGCTCCTTTTTTATTTACAGAGTTGAGTTTCCTTGGTGCAGTCACTTAATTGAAATAGTTTATTTCTTAAGATCAGACTAGCCCCTCTGTTGCTGAGTGTTGAGAGCTATAAAACATAGTTTTTAAAGAAAGTCCTGAGAAAGGGGATCTGGTACAAGTTGAAAGTTCCACTCTGGGTTGGGCCTGGACATTATTGTTCCTGGTGATCTTTTTTCTATTCTTCTATTCTATTATAGAACTACTATTATAGTTTTATTGGATTTCAGAAGTAGAGAGTGAATAAATAGATAAATGACAGCCCCGTGGGTCTAGTCATCAGAATTTGAATTTGAAAGGGTTTTTACGTTACTAATTGTGAAATGGGGAGTGGTTGATAAACTGAAGTGAAACTATTTCAAAAAGGAGCCATTTTAATTGGCGGCAGAGAAGTCTACTTTCAGTTTAAGGGAGCTTTGCAAATGATTTCTGAGAAGTTACTGATTCTCAAAAATATAGTGTCTTGTCTGCCAGCGTGTGTTTTACTTAGTAGCGCACACTTAGTAGAGAAAATGTTAAAACAGTTGTTTTTCTTGTTTATAAATCATTTCTGTCAGTCTCTTGGATATGATGTGCCTCTAAAAGTAGTCTTTGATTTATGACCAGTGGTTTAATGACTATTTGAAGTTAAGATAGACTTCCCCAGAGCTACTTAGGAGGTGGCTTTCCCACCCCACCTCCCATCAATATGATCACATTTTGGGTGCTTGGCAAGCAGCTCACCTTTATGGCCTTTGCAACATCCCACAGTCACGTGACTGCAATTACAACATTTTTCTGGCTTCTGGTGTTTACTTCTGGTTTCCAAGACAAAAAAGCCCATTGGGTGAAATAGATTTGCTTGGCAACCACCACAAAAAAAAATGTATTTAAAAAATGGATCCATTCACACGATGCCTTAACTTATGATCGCAACAATTAACAGCTGTAATTCTGGGGTCAATTACAGTTGTAACTTGAGGACTACCTGTACAGTTGCTTTCCAAAAGCAAATGGGGATACTATAGCTGTGTTCACATCTACCTTTGTTATTTTAGACAATAGGTGCTGCATTCGTGGCTAAAGTGATGCCAGTGGGCGGCCGCACAGTAACTTTGGGTATCTGGGTAAGTCACAGTTGAAATAAAAGATATATGGGCTATGCACAGTAAACAATAAAACAGAAGAGCACTTATGGAACTGATGTTATACAAGGTGATGAAGGACATTTTGTATAAAGAGAAAGTTTATACTGTCACAACACTGACAGTAGGTATATTTAATCAATATTTGCATTGCATTATGCATAGTACTATGTAAAGTAGAGCCATACTTTCCCACTAAGTGGAAATCCATTTTCTCCATTACCTTTCTCTAGGATACAGCTGGCTCAGAGAGGTATGAAGCTATGAGTCGAATATACTATCGTGGAGCAAAAGCTGCCATTGTATGTTATGGTAAGCATTCATTTGCATGTTGGTTCGGGCAGATTTCTCAAACTAAGCTGACCATCTTAGCTTGGAATAGTGGGAAGGTGCAATTAGAAGGTGTCAAGTTGGAAAAGGCAGTTTTGTTGTATTGCTCAGACACTGACTGCTACTTTCATCTAGCTCCCACATCCCATGTTGCCACTTGAAGTCATTTTACCCTGAAATATCTTGTAATCACCTCTAGCTAAAATCTATTGCTACAAAGGCTAGAAAAGAAGGAAGAGCTACATTTATAATACAGCTGGGTTTGAGGGCTATTTTGCTGTTCAATCACCCAGCAATCATAATTGAGCTGCTTGACAGCAAATGTTATATACTTAAAGCTAATACAGCATTGTGAGACTTGTCCTGGTCAGGAAATATTATCAGTGGGGAAAATCTTATTTTTTTTCTAATCAAACAATTTCATATACAGTATTGCTTAAAAGTTTGTGAAACGTTTTGAATTTTCAATATTTCCGCATAAGTAGGACCTAAAATACCTGTTATCCGCAAAAGTCCTCAAACTAGATAAAGAGAGCCGAATTAAATAAGTTATACAGGTAGTCGTCACTTAATGACTGCTTTGTTCAGCAACCAAACTTATGGCACTGAAAAAGTAAATTTATGACTGGTCTTCAAACTTATGGCCATTGCAATGTCTGCAGCATCCTCACAGTCATGCAGTTAAGATTTGGACACTTCATAACTGGTGGGTATTGCCTCTGTCATGGCCCCATTGGATCCCGATTCGGAGGAGGAGGAGGAGGAGTTGGAATCAGGACTGTCCGACAGGGATGGCACAGCTCCCCTGGAATGTTCAGAGAGGTCAGCGGCTGAGGACAGAATAACAGTTGGAAGGGACCTTGGAGGTCTTCTAGTCCAGCCCCCTGCTCAGGCAGGAAACCCTATACCATTTCAGACAAATGGTTATCCAATCTCTTCTTAAAAACTTCCAGTGTTGGAGCATTCACCGCTTCTGGAGACAAGTTGTTCCACTGGTTAATTGTTCTAACTGTCAGGAAGTTTCTCCTTAGTTCTAGATTGCATCTCTCCTTGATTAGTTTCCATCCATCATGCTGTCCTAGGCCCCTCAACCAGATGGGGAGCTGCCTGCCCTCACAGACACAAGGGAGGATCTGCTGCAGACATGTGGTGGTGTTGAGAGGCAGCAGATCCCCTCTGATGAGGAACAGCTGCCTCCCCCACTCAATCTGAGGGCATGGAGAGTAGAGCGGAGGCAAGCTCAGAGGAGGTATGTGAGGCCACTCCCGAGAAGGTCTCCCTGTCCCTCCTCACAAGGAATACCTGCCTTGGGTTGACTTAAGCAGAGGTTGGGGGAGGTTGTCTTTGTCAGGAACAATTGTTTTGCTTTGATATGCACTTCCCTGGCTTTGGAAAAACACTTCCTTGTACCATGTTTCTGCCTGTGGAATTCGACCCTTGCTTGTGGACTCGCCCTTGCCCTGCGGAGCTGGAATCTTGTGTACGACTTAGGGACCATGCTTGGGGGACTGGTACCTTGTTTTTGGACTTCCTTTCTGTCTTTGCGATTTGGCTCTGGTGATTATTTGCTTTATTTGTGGAACTGTGGATGGCTGCCTTCAGGGAAGTTTGGGGTGGAGCTTTACTGGCCGTTGCAGGGACATTTGTTGTGGAATTAGCAGAGCAATAAAGGACTCTATGGAAGCCTGTCTCTGCCTAGTCCGGGAGTCTCCAACCTATGGGCTACGGACCTTTACTGGGCTGTGGCCTATTGGCCATCGGGCCCTGGGAATGGCTGATGAGTGTGCACACATGTGCGCACACCCCTCACTCATGCTAGTGCCACTGCTCAGGCGCTAGTGGCCATTTGTGCAGGTGCCAGTGCAGGCACTGCGGGTGCACATGGCCCACTTGCGCATGCCTGCAGGCACTGGTGCCCCTGCCATGTGCATGCCTGTTTGCGCATGGGTGCACGTGCGCACATTTCCCTGCTCCTCCTTTCCCTCCAGGCCGCCAACCCGGAAAGGTTGGGGAGCTCTGGCCTAGGCAACCTGGGTCAGAACAGTCTCAGGGTCACATGATCCCTATTTGTGAGCTTCGATGCTGGCTTCCAACAACTCAGTGGGGAAGCTGGTATGAGCCACAAGTGACATCAGTGACTGCAGATGATTTGCTTAATGACTGCAGCAGAATTGACATGAGTCTTGAGTCTGGTCACATGATGTTTCACTTGATTGCATTGCTTAGCACCAGAGTTGCTGGTCCCAATTACAGTTGTGAAGTAAGGACAATCTGTACTAGCTCATTGATTTATTAAAGAAAATTATCGAAAGCTACATATTTCTGTTTTGTACAACTATGTGAACCTTTAGGATTATCAGTTTAGGGAACTTAAGAGTCAGATGGTTCAATCAGTGGGCTGGTAATTTGGTGTGAATGTGGGAGGTCCTACCTTATTTAAAGAACAGAATTTGGATATTCACTCTCAAAGTCTGATCTTCACATTATAGGAATGAGGAAGTCTGTCATGGTTTGACAAATAGAGATTTCTGAAAACTTCTGAAAGCTGTTCTGTAAGGAGGAAGCTGTTCTGTAAGGGCTAAAATTCCTTTAAGGTCATGTGCAGGACCGATCAATAGTTATTGGAAATATTTAGTTGCAGTTACTGCTGCTCAAGGAGAGCTCATTAGTTGTTGTGGTTCCTCGCCAGCCAGTGGATCCGGCAGCTGAGTCTGAGGAATAAGATGAGGAGGAGGGGCCTGGAGTGACATTAGAGTCAGAGGAAGGCTCTGAGGAGCTCCAAGACTTACAGTCGGACGAGGAGCCTGGCCCCTCTACTTGCGTGCAGGCTGAGACACAGCTGTACTGGGAGCCTGAGTTGAACAGTGATGAAGAACAGTTGGGACAAATCCCGGATGCACAAATGCGCAGGAAAGAGAAGCAAGTAGGTCAGAGGAATAGGTCAAAGGCAAAGGAGAAGGCATTAGGAAGCCACGCCTTGGCTGAATTATAAAAGGGAAGGTGTGGGAGGTGCTGGTTGCCAAAGGCAACCGTTCGTGTTGAGGATCGAGTTTCTGTGGACTGTGTTTTTTTGCCCTGGACATTGACTCAGGTCTGTGAGAATAAAAGGGGTTAGTTTTTTCTTGCGGTTCCTGCATGTTTCTTGGAAGAAGAGTTTCTCCTTGTGAGCATAACAAGGACTCACGTAGGCTGGGACAGAACACTAGTTACCGAAAACAAAGGTTGACTTAAGTATATTCCTTTAATTCAGTTTTTCTCAATAAGGTAAAATATTTATTTATTTATTTATTCATTCATTCATTCATTCATTCATTTGGGTTCTCTCTATTATGATGTGTGGAGAACATACCACATTTTAGGTCATACCTTTGCAGAAATACTGAAAATTCAAAAAGAACCACAAATTTTTAAGCACCACTGTGTACAGCATTGGAATTCTACTTTGGTACTCAGGTTCTGTTGTGATTTAATGAATTGGATCTCTTTGGGAGATTGAACCAATGAAAATGACAGGTATCCGAAAACCTTGCTTAATATGCACATAAAGTAGCCCAAATGACTGTAGTGTCAGGGCAACATTAGTTTTATTAAGAGACCTTGAAGAAGATATTTGTACTTTCTCAACTGAATTGCTCTTTCTAGTTTCTTGACATAGTTTGCTTATGTAGGGATGAATGGAACTGCTTTATTTAATTCCAGGGTGTCCTGACTCTTCCTCTTTCCACAGATCTCACTGACAGAAGCAGTTTCCAGAGAGCAAAATTCTGGGTGAATGAACTACAGAACTTTGAGGAAGTACGTTGATGTCTATTTATAGGCAGAGAAAATGGTGTACTTGGCTTTTCCGGGACAACATCAAAAAATTGTGGGAGGATATTTATGGGATCCTTTTTATAATATTTGGATTATGGTTGTTTGAATGGTTCAGATTTTCTGTTTATTGTTTTTCTGCTTAAATTAATAACCCTTGTAGAGTTCTTCTGGAATGGGATAGCATGTAAAAATACTGTTAGTTTTTAAAGAGAATAAACTCCCTCACCCCATACAAGATGCTGATGTAGGCACTGATGTAGGCAATTGAGACACTGGAAGTATATTTTGGGAAGCTTGGCTTGGTCATTATGTTTATCTAATTTATCTCCCGGTGTTTGCTAAGTTCAAAATTGCTTTTGGAGATCATCTGAGATGTTTCTAGTCAAAATACTAAACAGAATGAAGATTAATTAGCTTTCACAGTATAAATAGGAGCTCGCTAGTGATTCCTATGAGGAGCAAAGCGTCAATGGACACCTCATATGTTGAAAACATTTGCCTTGTTTTCTTTCTTTGTAGAACTGCAGGATCTATTTGTGTGGCACCAAAAGTGATTTGCTGGAAGAGGATAAGAGAAGACGGGAAATTGACTTCCATGATGTACAGGACTATGCAGACGGTGTGTTTTTGTCTTCTTCTATCATATATCAGGGTTCTTCTTGTAGCTGTAAGTCATTCGGAGGAGGTGCAAATGTTCCATTGGCTGTGTCCTTGGAAAGGCAAACCGTGTTTATTCATTGGTTGAAATTCCTCGTGAAAGTGACATTGCTTACAATTTCTTAGTCTTGAGAAGTGGGCAAACAGTTCTACTGTCTTCTAAAACAGAAGTTTAAGGTTTGCAATTATGTGAGGTGTTGTCCTTTAGGGAAAATAATTTGCCTCCACCTTTATGGAGCAATGTCATTGGCTGGAATATTCATGTTTGTTGAAGTGGGGGTGGGGGAGGAGGGAAAATGATCTGATTGCAAAATGGTTGTAAGTTGTATGGAGAGTTTGAGGGTTGGAATAGCTGATATATTATCAGTTACTAACGTTTGAGGAAAGTTCTAGTACTAAGCAAAACATTTATTCTTTCCTTCTGACACATCATTCCAGAGATCAAAGCTGAGCTGTTTGAAACCTCAAGTAAGACTGGACAGAATGTTGGTATGTATCTTGTATGTATCTCGGTATGTATGCTAAACATGTCTGGCATAACCTAATTCCAGAATAGGTGGAGTGTTGAATCATGTTCTTTCCCCTATTTTTTTCTCCTAGTGTTGGAGATAGGATAGTGTGAATGGACTTATTTTATCTTTTCTTAATGAGAAAAGTCAAAGCAATTATTTTTACCTTCTCTTTAGCTAGAACCACAATATAATTCTAGGCAGATCAGTCCAGAGACAAGTTGTACTTAGCTAAAGAATTAATTATCCCACTGAGAGTATACAAGTAGACAGACTAAAAGGGTAACATTTTTGGCTGCCTCAGCAGTTTATCAAAGGTATTTTCATTCTTTTTTGTATTTTGAGTGATTCATTGCTCTTTGTGACTTTAATATCTCTACTTTTTAAGATGAGCTTTTCCAGAAGGTGGCTGAAGATTATGTACAGTTTGCTGCCTTTGAGTTAACAGGTGAGTTGCTGAACCAGGTGTGTACTGAGCACCTATATCCACTTCTAAAATAATTTGTTGTATTCCTGGATTAAGACATATCCAGCATATTATTCCCTGTAAAACTGAGACTTGGAGACACTTAACTGAATTAGGAGAATAGTTATGAATGTGTCCCGAGAAGTATGGAAGGCAGAAGAATCGATGAGTATCTTTTCCAAATACACACTCCTGTCTTATCAGTAACAGGGAGGATTGGGAATGATGACCAGAGGAAAGGTGTTAGCTCTTATTATTCCTTACACACATTTAAGTGAATTGTGACTGCCAAATTCTTCCACAGAAATTTTAATGGAGCCTTAACCTTAATTTGTTTCAAATCTGTACAACTTTTGTAACCTATGCGTGTGCTTTATTTTCAGAGGAAAAAGGAGTTGATCTGAATCAAAAGAGCACTACCACCTATTTTTACAGCTGTTGTCATCACTGAATTTTTTATTTTGCCAAAAGTAACATTCTTCACCAGAGACAGCAATTCATGCTTTTTCTGGTGGGTCACATCTTCTACTTGCTAGTTGGAATGCCTTGCCCTTTGGATATGTAGAACATTATTTGTTGGCTGCTATCCAAGGAAACAGGAGAGAAGTAGATCAAAGATATGAATATGCTGCAAAATGTGCTGCCTTGTTGAGTGGAAGACTTGATTGCCTTGTGCTCCCTTCCCAGCAGAGATTGACTAAATTATTGAACTGTGTCACGAATTGTTATTTTTCATCACTATGCACAAGAGACCTTATGCTGACGGGTTGTTTCTGCTATTTTGAAGATGTTGCCTGATTCTTATTTAAATGGCTTTCAATAAGTTATCTACATGTAAATAAAAGGCAGTGTGGTCTTGTGCTGTTGAGGGATATGGTCAGCTTTCTGTTTCTGCTGAAAATTCTTCAGATTGTTTGGAGAAGCACCTGGGGATGAGAATTTATCTGCAATTACAGTGTGTCCAGAACTGCAGAAAGTTAGAAAAAGAATCTGTGTCCTGCTTTTCCCGCACGTCATACAAAGGTGGTCCTCACTTAATAACCCACTTGTTCAGTGACCCTACTTATGATGGAGCTGAAGTGGTACTTACAACCTGTCCTGATACTTAGGATGGTCACAGCATACCTGCGGCCACATGATTACCATGTGTGACCTCCTTTGTCGACTTCCTATAAGTAAAGTCAACAGGGAAATGTATAGGTTGCAAATAGTGGTGGTGTGATATTGTTTAATGATGGCAACTGGAAATGCAGGAATTTTTGTCACAAAGTGACATGGTTACATGACCTCACTCTTTACAACTGCATTGCTTAGTGATAGAAATTCTGGCCTCAGTTCTCAGTTAAGAGAGAACTATCTCAGGGCCATATGAGGAAACTTTCTTACCTGTAAGCCACCTGAGTGGTTCTAGGGATGTCTGTCAGTTTCTGCCAATCAGTGGCTGTCAATGTAGCAACAGAAACCACCTTTCTTTCAGATATAGGTCTCTGTTGAGATAGCTTAATCACAGTTGACCAAACTAATTTAATACAAGAATGCATACAAGATAATAAGGCCCAATACTATGAAAGAACTTAGTTTCTAAATAGTTTCTAAATCTTGGACATTGAGTAGAACTACATAGATAGCATTATGATACTGGAGTTCCAGTGCAGTTACAGACTGGTGTAATATGGGCGCTAGAGAACGCCAGAAGGCTGTAGAGCGAGAAGATCACAGATGTAATGAAAATGCTTGCCTTTCCTGACAGGGATGGGTGGTAATGTTTTCTTTTATAAACACTAGCAATAGCAAGGTGTACAATATATTTATGCCATGTTAATTTGCCACTGCAAAATGGTTTTTCTACTTTTGGACTTTTAAAAATACGACGACCTTTTACTAGGGCACTAAAAAGGCTACACGTTGTTCTGGTCAATGATGAATAGAAAGAGGTTCCCATCAATTCAGGATGGTGAATAAGCAAGTGGGAGTTTTCCCATATTCTTGCTTAGCTGGAACAAGGTTTTGGATCATTCTTTATATCGATGTACCCGCCAACAAGCAACATGACAGAGGAGCCATCACTTTTTAGCTGCTACCCCAGTTTCTTTTAAAATGCTGACAAATGCAACCTATGAATTTTGCTTTCTGGCCTAATTATTCGCCAAGCATGATTTTTCCAAGGAAACTCTATCCATTGTTTTTATGAAAAATTCAAGAAAATTAAGTGCGTCACGAAACCGTAAATTACAGTTAAAATGCCCCAAACCATTCATTTTACTACCTCCCACAGAAGCCTGCTATGTTCTGTACATGAGGCAATTACTGCATAGCCCTCAGCTTCTCAAAAGTATTGAGGCTATCAACGGCTAAATCTTGTCCATATGATTGTTTTGCTTTTCATTTGGGAAGGTAGAAAACATTTTTCGTATTTCGCTACCAACTAATCAGCTCACAACAATCCCAAGAAACCATTATCTAAGTTTCCAGCTATAGTAAGGTAGAGTTAAAATGCCACGTTAAGGATCCAATAAAAAGCACATTTTAATTTTGCAGCACACTTTGAACAGTTTAAAATAATTTGGTTTTAGTAAATCACCAGAAATAAGCATGGCTTCACTTGTCTGAGTGGCAGAGAGTTTTGTGCTTCTCTTGGAAGCTAAGCACCGTTGGGCCCATTTACTGTTTGGATGGGGGACACTACCTGTGCTGTAGAGTAGCTTTCCTTTAAGGTAGATTTTAATGCTCTGCCAGGCCTTAATGAGACAATGCACACAGATAAGAGTAAAGTTAAACTTTACTTTACAGTAATTACGTTCTTTTATATACAAAGAATTACAGTACATATTTTGGGAATGCCTGGGTAGGGCAACCTTCCCCCCTCCCCCAATTATAAATTTCACATACAGTCAACTGGGTATGGGAAGCAAAATTAAATTAATCCAAAGACACTTCCTCTTCTTCCAATGTAGCTATTCCAAAAACTTCTTCTGGCAGCCAGCTCTCTGTAGATTTGGGCAGCTCTGCATAGCCATATTGGACTGTTTTTTTTCCCACTAATAACGCGGTATATGCTTTGTTGACTCCTTTTCATCATCCATGCAGATAAAATTAAGCACTGGAGGGATGTGGCAGCATATACTGTTTAGACCTCCCGCAAACAGCCCTGCTTAGCCATAATTCCCACTGATGCCCTCTCCACAATCAGCAACCAGCATGCCTGAGAATGAAACAATACATAATGCTTGGAGAAACAGATTTTTTTTCCCCTCCATCTTATGTTAGCATTGCTAAGTGCCAATTTCGTTATCTGAGTCATTTTTATTTTGGTTTCATAAAGACAACATACGATTTTTTTAAAGTTTAACATCACTTTTATAAATGACCATCAAATGTATGAACAATAGTTCTGCAGCTGTTTTAAGAACTGCAATCCCCAAACATATGCCCTAAATTTGTTAGTCTCTAAAATGCTGCAAGGCAGTTGCTTTTGCTGCAACAGATAAACACAAGATCCTCTTCCACCATCCCCCCCCAATCAGCATTACTTTTGTTTTGAGCCTTCAAATGAATGTAAGCCTCTCCCCATGCTAGGGTAGGCTCTTAAGCTTTTACAAAAGTATCTCTCTTCAAATGATCACAGACCTAGCAAATGTAAAATCTTCACACCCATAAAGTACATTATCAAAACATGACCACTAGGATATCCTGCTGCTTGGGGTGGGTGTGTTCAACTTTACAACCAAAAGAGCATGCTTTCTGTAATTTGGCCTAAGTGGTGATCAGCAGAATGGAGAGCTTCAGAGATTTATCTATTCAAGAGTGCAGGATGAATCTGAGCTCCACTTTCTACAACTTTTCAAGATGTTGCTCTGCAGAAGCCCAAAGCATGCAACTACCTGAAGACCAAAGGGACTATCGCATTCAAGTGGCTGTGACATATAAATTGATCCCTACCATCTTGAATATATTAACAACTGCAAATCTAGAAAACGAGACACAAATGTATCCATTATTTAGTGTAATTGTCTGTCAATATTGGAATACTCTAATACAGCTTGATCTTGGATGTGAACATTATCTCAGTTTCTGTAATGCAAATGTTCTTAAATGGCCAACCCTCATTTCTAGTTTCAACAGCTTTCTATATTCCAGGGAATTCAACCACACTGTAAAACCTCATATTTCAACACATGGGATAATAAACAACACATGGAATAATAAATTCTTTTTATGTAGCTTGTTAGTAATTATGTGTATTTGGAGGAAAGACTTTTTAAATTTAACATAAGCATATGAATGCTGCAGAATGTTACATATAATTCTAAATTCCCATTTTCAGTTAAAAATACACCCACATTTTTAAACTACACATCCTAAATTAAAGGACTTGCAGTCAATTTAACATCTGCAGGAAAATGCAGAAAAGTGGTACAGAGAAGCATGAAATATGGCATGGTTAGCAGCACATTATTGAACCATACTGGCCAGAATTCTCCATGTATTTCAATATTATCACAACCGTGTATATCTATTGTTCCAACAAGCCTCTGGGGGGAAAAAACCTTATGTTTAACCTGTTACTATTACAAGACTGACCAAGGAGTGCCCTCAATTTAAATTTACACTGTACACTTCCCACAAGTAGCCTATACATTAAAAATAAATCTTTTAACAGCTTCATGAGTTTTTGAACATATCTACGCACCTGCAGTCATTAAGTTCCACTTCTCCCTTCTCAAAAGCTTAAATAAAACCTTTGGGAAAAGGAGAGGCACAAATTGCATTCTTTACAATTCTATACAGTTACCCAAATTGTATAATGCACATTACGTACGTGTGTATGTATGTAAATTAAACTCTAACCTAGATTGTTCCCTATTCCCCAATCTGTTTAATTTTTGGAATGTGCCTTCTTGGCCCATCTTTCAAAGCAAAATATGATCTCAGACCCCCATCCACCAAAATTGCACCACCATCTACACCAGACTCTTAATTATAGACCATCTCTTTTTCTGCCTAAAGTAAACATGATAGCAAAGTAAAACATTTGCATATAGGTGCATCAATTTGCTCACAATTCCAGCAAGATCCACTACTCAACAGCAGAGTAGAGTTAATATGCCCAAACAACTTTAAATTCAAGACCATTTTAGCCCCTGGAAATTCAACTCTTATCAACTGTGTTCTCCAACCCTTATTTGCTCTTTTCTTTTGGACTGATGCCATTCATTCTTTATTTGACCAGTGTTCCTTCTAATGGAGAATTTCCCGCCTCGTGTGGTCATCTGATTATAGAGGCCGCAACTCCTTACCCTATGCTAACCAAGATCTGGGTGGTGATTCCTCTTTATGTCTCATATTTTCCTGAAGTTATACTTTGTAGCTTCGTTACTTTAGCTTAATGAACTGGACATTAACCTCTGACGTGGAGAGGTGCTGTTGTGCTTGATAAAATATTCAAACTGCTCCCTCTATACTTTTGCAATGTTTTCTATTTCAGTGCTTAGTTCAGTTAATAGATTTGTATTTTAAACAAATTTAGTTTAAGGAGACTGAAAAGAGGAAAGGTGTAATATTAAACGTCACTGGGCGATTGTTTTGAAATACCACTTGAAAAGTTTAAATTGGTTCAATCATGAATTCCTAGCCAAGGATCCAGAATGTGCTGCTAAATCCCAGTTCTTACAGTCACCTACATGATCCCTAGGAATCTGAACAAAAGAATTCAAAATAAAAAGTTCTCAGTTTTAAAGATTTAAAATAGCCTCCACCAAAAATATTCACAGTTTATTTTTTTTCCATGAAACAAATACCTAGTTAAAACACATGACATTGCAAGAACCAAGTTGGATAAAGCAGTGCAGATATCTCTCTTCTTACAAGTACAGCTGTGAAGGGAGGGCAGGGGCTGGCACAAAGGAAGCCCTAAACACACAATCTACATGATAAAGTCCAGCTCACGGGAAGGCCTAGAGACGTAAAATTTAGAGCCTTATTTTGTTTCCACATGAGAAATGTTTAATATGCTGAGCCTCGTGATTGGCTTGACTTGCTTGATTGTTCAAAAAGGTGGGTCTTTTCATTTTAAAAAGTTTTGGTAAAATGCCCTTGGTTTCTTGTATCTGTCTCATTCAGAAGAACTGTCCTGTTTCCTTTTGTGCAGGAGTCACGCAGAAACAAAAGATGTTTGCATTTCGCCATTTTCAGCAATTAGCAGCGCTCGGCCTGCAGGTGTTCAAGGAAAACCAACTTTAAGCACTAAGGTTCCATTTAGTCATAATGCTTTACAAAGTCATTAGTTGTACTTGGAGAGAATGAAATGAATCAGAGAAGAGGATGAGATGCACAACCAGGTAGGGAATATTTCGCAGTGCCGAGTAGATACTGTCATTGTGGAAAGCCAACATTGAAAAAAGTAATGGATCTGAATTTGAACTGCCACTGCAACAATGATGATTGCCTACAGGCCCTGAATACCCCAGAGTTATCTATTCCAAGAGGAGAGGCTTTACGTTGGGACAGAGTTAGAATTTCTGCTCTGTGCCAAAATGTGAACATCTACAGAGGACCAAATGGGAGCTATTCAAAAAAGTTTTTGCTTCAAACTGGAGCTTAACAGTCTGTGAGAGTTCAGATGCCCAGGCAAATAGAATAGGGTGGCAAGCTAAAAATGGTCAAAGAGTTTGCTAATTTCATAGTACGAAATGGAAGCCGTATTAGATATGTGAAGACCCTGCATAGTGAATAATATCGCCATATACAGGGTGAAGTAATTTAGTTGATTCCCCAGCTACAGTTTAAAGAAACCACCATCAGTACCATAGCAAGCTATATTTCTGTGGTGCAGATAATATATCTGCCTGTTTACGTAATTCTAAATGCTTCTCCTTAATGGAAAGACAGTACTACCAATCTGGCAACTAGTCAGGTCTAAAATGTTGCGTTAACTGGAAAATGAAGAAAAAAGAATGAGAACTTCAGGCAAGTGCTGGAGCATTTCATGTTCCAGTGTGAGAACTGTAATCTTGGCCATCTCTCTTTTTAAATGACAGGACCCCTTAGGGCTGCCCCACTAAATTCAAGTCGATCTTCTGTAGGTGGGGTGTGGGAGTGTTGCAGGAGGCAATACAAAAGGCTTACTAAGCTAGACACTAATCAGAATAGTAATATTCACTTTTCATCTTGAACATTTATTCTCGTATAGGTCATCAACTGTTTCATTTTCTGAATTAGCTCATAATTTAGAAATACACCCATACATAATGCAAACATTATTTTTAAGCAGATTTGCCATGGAAAAGAGCAAAATTAGTTTCATTTGTCCACGCTGACTATCAGTTTGACTACAAGATAACTTTGGTGAACAAACTGTAAAAACGAAACAAAACCCAACACAGCAATGCTGCACTGAAAAGCTAGACAAGTAATGTACTTATTTTTTCTAACCTGCTCTTGACTTTAGTGGTCAAAATTCTGTTGAAAAGGGAGCTCTAGTGCCATTGCACTAAAGATCTAAGTCCCAAAGAATCTACCAGACAATATTTCTGAATACTCCCCTGCTGTAAGACCTAGGTTCATTGAGGCACAAGTTGTTCTGTTTTGCAGAACTGAGATCCTCAACTAACTTCAAGTATTTTTTTAAAAAGCACCTGCATTTGAAAAGCTCCGCCCTGACAGCAGATCGATTGCAAGGAATGAAAATTAAGGACTAAAAACCTGTTGCATTTCCTTTTGTGCCCTCAATATCTGGGTTCATTAGTTAAAATGTTTTGGAAATATGACGGGCCAGTGTGGAAGTTTGTTATGATAACAAACTACTACTTTGGAGCTACATGGGAATAATCTAGGAATGCAAGTCTGTTATTCAGACTCACAAAATTAGTAAACTGATTAATGGAATTAAATATTTTATCCCAAGTGGATTCCTTTATTTCAGCATTATTGTTTGCAAAATGAAGGTAAAGACCACCTATATTTTTGCTCCTTGGTTGGGCATCATAGAGATTTAGTTAAAATATATCTGTATAGCTTGAGCAGGATGTTGCTGGAGGTTAAGAAACTGGAGAAGTGAATTAAAAAGAAAACAACAAACAAAAACAATCCTTTCCCATACAATTAAAAAATCAATCAAAACAAATAGGTGACCCGTCTGGCCTCAAACTGGCTTCACTTAGATTTAGACTCAGGAGGTTCGTGGCCAGGAGAGTCCTGGTCCAGTCCTAGCACCGCATTTTGCTCAGACAAAGGCAAGATGCCCTGCCCCACAGGCATTTGTGTTTTCCCAGAGAGCCAAGAGATCTGCTCCAATGTCTGAATGTTTCTGGTCAGCCATGAGGTTTGCCCAGAAGGTAGTGGAGCTTCCCTTCCAGGCCAAGGGGGTTGTTCAAATGCAGACAATCTCTCTGTTGACCAAAATGTCTGCTCCGTGGAGGGTGCAGATATTGCTTCTTGGCCTGGACAGAGACTGTGCTCAGGAGACTGCAGTTTCTCAGCTGTCCAAAAAGATTGCTCCATGGATGGCAGCCCTTTTGCACTAAGCCAAGAGGTCTTTTCGTGCATTTGCAAGTTCTCTAGCGGACAGGAGGTTTGCCCTGGGAAGGGTGGACATTTCCCCGTTGGCCGACAAGACTGCTCGCCAGATACAGATGTCCGTTCTTTCGGCTGAGGGTTCTGCTCCACAGTCACAAAGCCTCTTTCTTTGGGTTGAGCATTCTGGTCGACTGGCCGCAGTGCTTTCTCTGAAAGCAAAGGCCTGGGGTTTAGTGGGGCAGGAAGCCTGTCTGAGAGCTGAGGCCTCAGGCCCGCGGTGGTAGAAGGTTTGTCAGATGGTACAGGCCGAGTGTCCACAGGGGTAGGCAGCCTGCTGGGCGTCTGAGGCGGTGAGCCGGTCGGAGCGACTAGCTTCTCTGACGGCTTAGACCTCAGGGCTACTGGGGTGACAGGTCTGACTGGCAGCTGCGGCTTCAGGCTCAGTGAAGGGGCCGCCTTCCCTGAAGGCTGAGGCAGCGGCCCCACAGAAATGGCCCTGCCCTGTGGCTCAGGCCTCAGAGAGTCAGGTTCTGCAGCTCTGTCCACTACCTGCCCATGAGGCGGTGGGGTGGTGGGGGGCTTATCTAGCAGTAGGGGCTGGGGAGCACCCATCAAAGGTGATGGGTCTGAATTCCTGGGTGCCTCTAAGGCCGAGCAGTCGGCTGCTCTCTCAGATCCAGGTGGCTTCTCCTCAGTGCCGACAGAGGACTGTTCCTCTCGAACTATGGTGGGGGACAGCTTCTCGGGGCGTTGCCCCTTCCGGGCCCCAGGGGAAGCTAGCTTTTCTGAGGCCCGCAGCCTGAGGGCCACCGTTGGTGCTGACTTCTCTGAGGGGTGTAGCCTAAGAGCCACTGCCGAAAGTGGCTTGTCTGATGACTGCAATCTAAGGGCCAGGGCAGAGGATAGTTTGTCTGAAGGCTTGAACCTCAAGGCCAGGGTGGAGGGCAATTTGTCAGAGGGCTTTAAACTCAGGGCCAGGGTGGAGGGCAGTTTGTCTGCTGGTTGAAGCCGCAGTGCCATTGTAGAGGGTGTTTTATCTGAGGGCTGTAGCTTCAGGGCCACCGAGGAAGGTGGCTTGTCTGAGGACTGTAGCCTCAGAGCCAATGAAGAGGAAGGTGGTTTATCTGAGGATTGCAGCCTCAGAGACACAGTCAGAGGAAGCCTCTCTGAGGACTGAGATTTCGGGCCTGTAGCTGCAGGCTGCTGGTCTGATGGCTGAGTGTTTTGGCAGCCAGCTGCTGATTCTGTGGAAGGCGCATACTCACGAATCTCTCCTGGCTCTAGAGGGTTAGGTCCACAAGGATCGTGTTCTGTGCATGACAGGCGTCCATCCAGTTTGGAGATGAACAGCATGCCTTCCCTATGCTGTTTGCAGAATGATCGGGGACACATCTCGCAGAAGGAGGCTGCATCTTTGTTACACACGTCACACTGATGCCAAGGACATTCCCACTTTCCTGCAGCACAGGAAAAAGCATGAGTAAAATGAGTGATGGCAAGTTTCTGAAAATCCCTGAAATCAAGATGCAAGGAAACCGTGACTGGTGAAAACTGTTCAGGGAAAATTGCTAAATTCAGCTCCAAATTCCCAGACATCCAGATGCTGGTATTAAATTGCCCATAGAGGATATAGCACACAAAGGCCAATTCATTACATACAATGGTTTCATTCCATTGTTTATTATCGTGTTTCAACTTTGCCCTGGCTTCAACTGCGGGAACCTCCATCTATAGAACAAGAAAGGATACCTATGATCAGAAATAAGCATGGCCTTGGTGTTACCTGGAATTTTAGGCTTTATGATTAGCTTTTTAATTAAGGTGATATTAGCATTTTAACATGGCAACTATGTCTCCTTTTGAAGTGTAGGAAATCTTGTTTTTCCTTTACCCAAAACCATTTCCTTTGATGTGCAAAATTAGCCTATTTAGAAACTTAACAATAGCACTGTATTCTGAAATCCTTGAATGCAGCAAGTGCCAAAGAAACAAACCCAGATAGGAAAGGAGAAGATGCCCCATATTGTAAGGGTGTCTGTCTTTTCTTGCATCTAATCAATGTCTTTTATTGTTTGATTTGTTGCTTTCTGACACCTTATAAATATCAAATGTATTGTTTGTTTCTGTCCCCTGTATCAAGACCCCCCCCTTAATAAAATGCCATTTGCTTTACCTCAGTGGTTCTCAACCTTTTTAATGCCGTGACCCCAACCGGTCGTAAATCGAGGACTAAACCGGTCGTAAATCGAGGACTAAACCGGTCGTAAGTCGAGGACTAAACCGGTCGTAAGTCGAGGACTACCCAACCGGTCGTAAGTCGAGGACTTTCCCTGCCCGGGAACGCCGCACATGCGTGGTTCCGCCCCCTGTGCTGGCCGAGGCATAGCTGGCAAGCGGCAGAGACGGAGCAGGCCGACCACCAGCTGGCCCAGCTCAAGGGAGGTAAGGCACCCGCCGGAAAAGGGGAAAAAAATGGCGGACAAAAAAAATGGCGGACAAAAAAAATGGCAGACAGCCTTGCTTGGCGACCCCCGTGAAATGGTCAATCGACCCCAAATGGGGTCCCGACCCACAGGTTGAGAACCACTGCTTTACCTGAAGTATTTGTGCTTAGTACTACAGGGAGGGGAACACTGAAAAAAGCCACTTTGCAAAGGTATATTGTTTCTCTCTCAAATACAGGGATGAGGTTCTTTCCAGACCTGTGCTTCTAGAGTGCTGGAGTTTCAAGGCAACATTCACACACAACCAGTCGCTACAATCCAATGGAACACATGTGCTTTTTCACTAAAATAGTTTATACCCTACAGGACTAGGGATGGGCTAAAGGGAATTTAAGGAGGACAGTTTAACTAGAGACATAAAGATTTCCGATTCTCCCACCTCAAGAAAAAAGTTAGAGACGGTATAACCTCCTGTGGGTTTCAACTAGTGTTTAACATCTCGTAAGCGTATGTCTGGTTACCCTGGGCTCTTTTCCTCAATTCTTCTGATCTGCCTTTGCTCTTTATTCTAGTTCACTCTAATGGTAAATTCAAGTAACATTTAAATTGTTTGTTTCAAACTCTAGGAACCATTTACAAGAGAATCAAATGGGATAGACAGGAGTTGTAACTGCACCATTTAACAGCCTGTATTTAAAAAGCTTGTTAAAGTGGAATACTTTAATGAAAAAAAAGGTATAGGGGAAATAACTGACTCCAATTCATCGAAAAGATTTTTTTTAATTAGTACTGCACTTAATATATGAAGGAAAGAATTTCATTTTCCAACTCCGTCCTCGATTTTGATTCATTAACACAAGATGTTTCTCTGAAAAAAAAATCACAGAACACCTTAAAGGAAAAGTATGTTAAACCTATTTTAAAGAACAAAATTTTTGCCAATACGAAGCAATATGTTCCTTTGTCTTCCCTACCATGCATGGTATATGAGTTACCATTTTCATCCTGGAAATACTTTCCGCAGTAACCAAATATGAGACTATATTACTGACCTGCAGGTCGCCTAGTCAGATTGAGGCAGTCAGCGTGGTAGACTTTGGGGCATCCTGGTCTCTTACAGGAAACCAACTGCCCACCATCTCCACAACTGAAACATTCATCCTCCCTCTCTTTCATGACTTCTGTCTGTGACTTGCGCTTTCCGTGCCGCCTCTTACATTTCTTAGATTTCTCTTCTGTAGCAGGTGGCTGATTCTGAAGACAGAAAAAATTCAGGATGGAAAAAAATCCCCGTTCTCATATAACTAATTTTGTTTAACTTGTTTAACTAAGATACATAATGAGATGTCTAATTCTGGACAGTCCTTTAGTAGGTGTACACCTCCAAGGAAAACAAAACGTGTTGGCTTCATCTGGTGATGTGGAACTAATCTTATATTTAAAATAAATGTAAGATCACCATAAAATATTGACCTGACAAAAACTAGATTTGCTTTGCTCTTTATGAGATATTTCAGAGCTAGTATTTGATGGACTTTTGCTTCAGGAAAAAGAATGTGAAAAATCAGAAGATTTGGAGCAGAAGTCTCTTGGAGCAGAATTGCTTTTCTTCAGTGGTGGGATTCAAATATGTGAACAACCGGTTCTCTGTGTGGATGACGCTTCCGGAAGTCCATTCTGGTTCTGGGCAACAAAAAATTAGCTACCGGTTCGGCCGAAGTGGTGCGAACTGGTGGCTGAATCCCACCACTGCTTTTCTTCTTTTTCTTTTTAATTTGTACTCTCAGCTTGTTTAAAAATGCAAAATAGACAATAGGGATACTACTTTTATCAGCAGGAGCTAATTACACAAATAGTAGAGGACTACAAAAGTATAAACAATTTCTGCGCATGCAGTATATCTAAGGTTAAGGGAGCTGCATCTAAGGAAAAGTATCCAAAGATAGACTGTTTATACCTTTGGCCGCACTCCAAGGAAGCCACTGCAGTTTGGTGCTCCACACTTGCAAACTGTTTTCCCATTCCCCAAACATTCCAGGTTGTAGTTAAAAGTCAGTTCGGTCCCTGGTAATGAAAGAAATCAGTAAGACCCACCCGGATGACGACATACAGGATTTTTTGTGCACGAGATTCAGTATGTAACAAAGGAATGAAAAGATCAAAAGTCAACCAGGGTGTTAGTGCAACTTTTAGTTGTGCTTCAGTTGCGGCCTCTCCTGGATCAGGAGTTCTGCGTTCAGTCATTCAAGCTTTAGTCATCTCAAGTTGAACTATTGCAACGCATTTGGAAGCTACAGTGGTGCACAGTGCCACAGCACAGGCAGTTCTTGGGACTCCAAGGGTGGCACATGTAACACCACTGCTCCGCGAGCTGCCAGTTTGCTTCTGGGTGCAATTTGAGGTGTTGGCAATCACTTTTAAAGCCCTTCATGACATGGGTCCAGATTACTTGAGGGATCATCTCATTCCACTGGGATTGGCCTGCCCCACCCATGCCAGCAGAGGAGGCATGTTATGGGCCCCATTGGCCACGGTATTCTGGATGGCAGGGTTCAGAAGAGCCTTCTCTGCCTTGCCCCCCCCCCGGAGTGAGATCAGTTTCAACCCTCCTGACCTTCCACATGAGCTTAAAGATCTGGCTCTGACAGTTAGTTTGGGTTCTAAAGGAGGGGCTTCATTTTGAAGTTGGTTGATAGATTAATATCCATCCCTCTTCCCTCCTGTTCATCCTGCTCCCTCCCTCCCCATCTTTTAGCTCAGACATGTCAAACTCGCGACGTCACGTGATGTCGCGCAACATATCGGAGCTTCTTCCCCATTGCTGGCAATGGGGTGGGCGCGGTTTCCTGGTGACGCATCCGGCCCATGGGCCGGCAGTTTGACACCCCTGTTTTAGCTATGGTATTTTATATTTTTAGAGTATTTTATTCATGTAGTTTTATCTTTTCATATTGTAAGCCATCCAGAGTTACCCTAGGGTAAGATAGGCAGCCAATAATGTAATAAATAAATAAATAAAATCAGAAGAAAAATTAAAAGTGCTGAGGGGAATCTATTTCTATTGTGTTAGGCAGGATCTACTGACCTATCTCAGTACTGTTTCTGAAGTATAGCTGTAACGTGTTTTTTTCTAACTGATGACTTCCACACAAAGCAGTATCCATGGGTTAATAATGCAATTATTAGAGATTAACCCTTTGTAGAACCTAATCCCACTAGATAAAGCATCTGTGTTTCTTCACTGTTCCTTTTATACCATTTTTTTCTTCCTTTCAGAACTCTTTCAGCAGCTACAAAACTTCTATATGCTCCTGGAGAAGTGCAGTCTTGCTAATGCTGACAAGGCAGGCAGGAATTTTTCAATCAAGCAAAACAAAAACCAAAAAAAAACTGGTATCAAAAACTATGCAAGAAAGTAGCAGAGAAGGGGAAAAAGAAGATACGAGGCAAAAAAACCTTCATTGTGGGTTATTTAGAGAAAAGAAATGAAGAACCATGCATCTGCGGCAAACAGTCCTCTGCCATCTTCCAGGCAGATGAACAGAGAAAAAGTAAAGGAAAAAAGAAAAATTGCAGATGGGAGTCAGGATGAGTCAGTTCTGGCTAGCAGACTGACCATGTACTCAGGGCCAAACTATCCACCTGAACTTCTTATCTCCTAAACACTAATATATTTCTAATGGGCTTTATAATCATCAACAGACAGCAGCAAAAGCTAAGCATTTAAGACACCCCAAATATTTCAAAGAAAGCTTTTATGAGAAATACTGACCTGCTTTAATATTTACAAGGGCAAACAGCCCAACACGAGTATCTCCATTCACTGACCATTTCTGTGTCTCGCAATTTGGCTGGCAACAGTGGTTCATGAATCGAGCATAATTGCCCTTTGGTCCAGCATCAATTATTCGATCCTAAAATCACCAAATGGAATAACACCTATTAAAAACATAGCTTTAATCTTTTTTAGCTGAGACTAGCTTTATAGGTAGAGTACTTTTAAAAATACAAAGGTGGACAAATTGAACAGTTCAGAACCCAAACCTATCGAAGGAGCATTTGTTTTTTTTTAAGGATTTCTAACATTCTATTAAATACTCCAAATGCTGAAACAAAATTGTTTTTATGTAGCCACCTGTCACTCAATGTACAGCACACAAAAAAGTCTTTACCCACCTTGTCCAAAGTCAGCATATAAAAGTTGGTGATATCATGTTCTTGAGCATAGCGGATTCTGGCCCGACATTCTTCTTCATCTATCAATTCTCCCACATACTCATTCACAAACTCACCCTGAAATTCCCAGGAATGGAAGAACAAGTAAGTGCTCTGATTACAAAACTAGGAAAATAAAAAGTTCTTCATTAATGTCAATATTCCAAGTTACTTTTTTGAAAAAAGTCTGAGGAGGCACCAATCTGTTTCGTAATGTTCTCACTCTTACTATAAGAATAAGCCTACACATGGTTGCTTTTGAACATCCAGAAGCTATGAGGCTGCTAGAGAAACCCAAGCAGCCTATATATATGTCACATAGGTCAGGGCTTTTCAACCAGTGGTACGGGTACCACCTGTGGTACATTGGCACCTGGCAGGTCGTACGCGGCCATCCTAGAAAAGTGGTAGCGGGGGAGGGGAATGAGCTGAACCAGTGGCAGCACTGCACAAGCCTGAACAAGAGATGGCTGGAGCTGCAGGGCTGTCAGGGCTCAGCGGAAGCGCCAGGATCAGTGCCGCTTTCCAGCTGATCGGCGCTTCTTCAGGACTGTCAGGGCTCAGTGGAAGCGCCAGGATCAGCGCCAGGCTCCAGCTGGAGCTCGGCGCTGATCCTGGTGCTTCTGCTGAGCCCTGAAGAAGCACCAATCAGCTGGAATGCAGCACTGACCCTGACGCTTCTGCTGAGCCCAGAAGAAGCACCGATCAGCTGCAATGTTGCAGCATCTCCAGGGTCTTGTGATTTACATTCAGATGCTTGGCAACTGATTCATATTTATGACGGTCACAGTGTCTGAGGGTCATGTGAAGTGACCAAAACCTGCTGCAACCACCCAGCAGGCAGAGGGAATAAAAATCAAACACCCCCCCACCCCCGCTGCCAATCCTTAACAGAAATGCTCACAACAATGAAAACCTCGGACAGGAGGAAGAGCGCCGCAGGGTGGGCAGGCAGTCTTGCTCGGCTGTGGCTTGGGGGGCACTTTTTTCAGTGCCATTGTAATTTCGAACAGTCACTAAGCGAACTGTTGTAAGTCGAGGACTACCTGTACTTTATCACTTTTTTCCTTTTTTTTTTTTTTTGGTCATCAAGTTTTTGACACCTTGCTAGGCGACTGGTGGTACTCGGATGTTGCCATATCCTAAAAGTGGTACAATGGGTGAAAAGGTTGAAAAGCCCTGACATAGGTAACCAACATAAGTGAAGTATAACTTACTTACATAATCAATAAAAGAACCCTATTTTTGAACTTTAGAGCTCTTACAATTTGGAATCGGGCTACCTGAAGATTATATATTCATATATTTATATTCCATCAAACTCTAAGAAGCCTATATGGGCTTAAAGATTACAGTGTCTCACTTCTTTTCAAGGCAACTGTAAACACTTACAAAAACCTGACTATTGAAGCATCTGTAGTAACTGTTACACTAAAACTGGCAAATACTGAACAATATTTTGTTCAGTTATTTCCTAATGCAATAATTTAGGATCATGTTATTTATAGTACCGTTTAAGAATATTATGAATATTCAGTAGTACTTTGATGTAGTAACATGGGTATCAGAAACAGTGAGCTGCCATAGAAAATTTGTGTCTTTTAAATCAGAATTTGTATGACAAATAATTGACACTGGAAAAAAGAAATAATTGACACGGAAAGGCAATCAGTATAAGCAATTTCAGGAACTGCTGACATACACTGATTTTGAGGGATGTAATTTAAGATTCCATTGTTGCATAATCTAACCTCTATATAGCTATAAAAAGTACCATGACAGTTTTTAGATATCTGGTGACTATAATGAAAATCTAAAAAAGCAAAAGTACCTTTTTAATGTCTCTCTTAGCTTGCAAACCCCAGCCACGTGCTAAAGTACGGAAGATTTCTACTTCTGGATACTGCCTCTTGGTGAAACACTGGTTTTGGCAGCGTTCTCCAGTTTGGCAAACCGCAGGGTGACATTCATAGAGCAGCATGCGATTAATGCACTCTGAATCCAAGCCACAGGGGTTTTCATCTGCAGGCTTGCAGTTGCAACGCGGTATTTCAGACAAATCTGCTGTGAAGATCTGCACTTTGCCCACAGGCCTGTTTACCTACAAGCAGAAATGGACAATTCCAAGTAAATCCATTGTCTTACGAAGTGTACATTTTGAAAACACCGCTCAGATGCACTATCTGGCAGTACGCTGAAATTCACTGAAAGATCATTTTGGGCAGCACAAATGATGAGGAAACAATGTTACTAAAAAAATGTTTACAGCTGCAGAGGGTACTTTGTACTACTTTATTACTACCACTACCAGAAGAAATATTACATATTTCATTTCCTCCATGTGACCATATAATGGCTGTCAGATGGTTGGCCTTACAATCACAGACAGACAGACAGATAGTTGTATAAATAATATGTATTATTTCTGCAGTCATTTATATCTTTGCTGAACCAGGAGACTCCCTTATACAGATTTATTGGTTATTTGGTAAGCACGAAATTCAGCTCAGTGTAGCTAACAGCTAATTTGCACAGGACGGAATGGGACAAAAAGTTTGGGAATCTACTTGTGTGGTTCATTTAACTGTGTTAGGATACAATAGCAAAGACTGCAAGGATTTCCTTCCTTCCTTAAATTTATATCCAGTATTGACTTTCCATAGGGCAGTTGGATATTAAGAAACGTAGAAATTTAAATCAAGCCAAGCAAGAAATATATGTACTAGTTGACAGCAATTCCTGATTAAAACTAAAGCTTAATATCCAATTAAAGCGTGCAAAAGTCACATACAATCAATCTCATTAACCACTCAATTACATTTAAGGTATTATCAGACCTCTTAATGTTGTGGCATTCTCACCTTAATATGTTTGTATGGTGGCGGTTTCTTATCATTCTTTTTGTCTTCTTGTAGCTGACGCAGTTCTTTCTGTGCCTTTAATTCTTCAAATCTTACAGCAGCTTCCTGTAAAGCTAAGTTGAGAATTGCTTTTTTTATTACACTTGAACAGACACTTTTATATACCTTTCTGGCCATCTGGATCATTTCTCAAGATTTTTGTATGAAGAATCATATGTGAATAAATGTACAATAGGCTCTAAAAATAAAAAGGAGGACATACCCTAAGGCAGACATGTCAAACACAAGGCCTGGGGGCCGGATGTGGCCCGCAAAGTGGTTTCATGTGGCCCGCGAAGCCATCCTGGAAACAGCGAGGGAACGGCCCCCGCTGCCTTGGCCCTGGCCCAGGCCAGCCGGGAGCCAATGTACAATTTTGTGGTGGCCATCTATGCTGAAACGCATTCAGTCTTAGCTCCATAGGCCCCCCCCTTGCATGGCCTGAGAGGAAGAGTGAGGCTCCTCCAGTGGACCATGCCTTGGCACTTGCCCTGGTCCCACTCCCTTCTGCCAGAGACCCTCAGATCTGTCCCATTCCTGCCCAGGCCCCCACAGGCACCCTTGACGTGAACGATGTAGAACTGGCCACACCCACTCCATCCACGCTCATCCAGTAGGCCCCACCCACCCGGCCCCCTGAGGGCAACCGCAATGCTGATGCGGCCCTCAATGAAATTGAGTTTGACACTCCTGCCCTAAGCTATGCAAAGCTTCAACTCAAATTCATCTTTCCAGCATCAGCAATGAGATACGTAGATCAGGGCAGTTTGGGAAATGAAGTATGCTCTGTCTGAACCAAGGAGGAAGTTAGGCTGAATGAAGATGTAAAGTTTGCTTTGTATGGCCGGTGGCTAGAGACAAATTACAAGCCTTCAAGAGGGAGACGCACCATACTATTATGGTGGCTTCATTTCAACAAAATAAAAAATAATAATAACATGCTGAACTCCTGCACAAAATTCACACATATTATAGGCAGATCTACAAAATTCACACATATTATAGGCAGATCTACAGGCAGATCCATTAACTGTGATAAAAATGCAAATATCAGATTGTCAATATTTTCGCTTACCTTTGCTCTTGAGACTACAAATAATAAAGTAAATTGATATACCACATAACACAGAAGTATAGGCTGAATGCTTTTTGATTTTGTGATATTTAAGCACTTCCATAGATTGAATTAAAGTAAGTTACCCTTCTTGTAAATGCCATCTACTCCCTTTGCCATCTTATCCTTGCTGCTCACGTCTCCTTCCATGTAAGGAAACACTCGAGCCTGGTGAGTCCAAAGGTAATCATTTGATCCGAAAAAAAGGACAGGGAATTCACCAATGACATGTTTCATCTTCTGAATGTTGATAGGAATGGTCCTAGGGTGGCAAATCTCAGCCGGCCACCACCTGATGATAATGAATGCAAGGTAAAGTAATGAATAGATGGATCTACTTCAACTTCTATTCTCAAGATACGCATCATTTTGCTAACTCAGTCCCAACTGAGTAGGACAAGACCAGATGCTTTACATCAGATATGTCAAACACAAGGCCCGGGGGCTGGAAGTGGTTTTATGTGGCTCGTGAAACCATTCTGGAAACAGTGAGGGAACGGCCCCCTTTGCCTTGGCCCTGACCCAGGCCAGCCGGAAGCCAATGTACAATTTTGTGGTGGCCATCTATGCTGAAACGCATTCAGTCTTAGCTCCATAAGCCCCACTCCACATGGCTTGAGAGGAACAGTGAGGCTCCTCCAATGGACCATGCCTTGGCACTTGCCCTGGTCCCATCCCCTTCTGCCAGAGACCCTCAGATCTATCCCACTCCTGCCCAGGCCCCCACAGGCACCCTTGACGCGAACGATATAGAGCTGGCCACACCCACCCAGTAGGCCACACCCACTCCATCCACGCCCACCCAGTAGGCCCCATCCACCCTGGCCACACCCACCCGGCCCCCTGAGGGCAACCGCAATGCTGATGCGGCCCTCAATGAAATTGAGTTTGACACTCCTGCTTTACATGTTGTCTTCACAGTGTGAAAGCCTCAGTTGCAAAAACAGAGGCTAAAACAAGATAGCTTAATAGTCATTAATATAAAGATGATGGTGAGTTCTTCTTCTAATGCAGGGGAACCCAACAACAGGTCCGCACAAACAAGCAAAGCTCCATTCGCGGGATGCAGGCAGCACACAAAACCACACACACACCCAGTCCGCAGAAAAACCTCTCTCCATGGAACCGGTCCCTGTTGCCCAAAAGGTTGAGGACCGCCGTTCTAATGGACAGACTCAGATTATATCTGGAACAAGATCAGTAATTGAGGTGTAATGTGAATTGCTTCTTTCACTCACCTGTAACGCCCCACTTTCACCCAGACCACTTCCTTATAGTGTGGCTTCTTGCCAGCCTTGCAGTCATTACAGTACCAGCTCCCCTCTGGCATGTCAATGCTCAGACACTCCCGATGGAATGCAGCAGGGCACGACTCACAGCATAAAAGGCTGCCACCTATAAGGACGAAAGGTGGGTTATCATAGTCATCAGAACCAAGTCGCCATCATTAACAGATTTATAATTAGAGTCCTTAAAGGCAATGTAATATGCAGGTATTTAATGCCACAACAACTATTTGTGCAGAAATGCCCTTGCAGGATTGGGATTGCTTTTAGACTGGCCAGCATCTTTCATCTTACTGTATACCCACAAATAATTCACAAGATGATAAAGGAGTCAGGGAGGAATCATCCCTATACTTTTCAGGAAAAAATGCAGAGTAAAGATTAACAGTTATATAAATGAAGCTTCTGATCAATCAAGCCCTAACATCTTCTGTTAAGATTTAGTTTTATCAGACTTTGCATGGGGATAATATCTAGGATATTTTTGCTTTATTTTTCTGATACACCCACCACAAATCCCCTCTCCTATCTTCAGAGATGTCTTCCAATACAGCAACAAATATATATAATTAAAATATTATACAAAAGCGTCACATCCAACAAACAGTGCATTACCTTCTGAGCAAACAAAACACCAGCTGACGTTTACATGCTCGTGGTTTCTACAGCCCCTTCGAGGGGTAAAGTGATTGGGGCAGATCATGCTGTTGGAAGCCAGAATCACTGTCCCAGCAGCAAGGCAGAAATCATTTGAATGGTATGCAACAGGGCACCGCACACAACGCATCAAGCGACCTAAAAAGAAAATATATTGAATTGCAGGTCTAAAAATTAGTATGTCGGGGAAATAATAATACAAACTCAAATTTCAATTTAAAAAAAAAAAGTCTATTGGCTCTTTAAATGTCTGCCAATAAAACCCACATCTTGCTCCAAATTTTGACATTGCTGAACTGACTACACAAAGAAGTCCCCTGTACGTAAAACTTGATGTACCTTTAGATGCAGAAATATTAGCTGGGTTAGCAGCATGGCATGTCATACAGATATGCAGTGAGCAGCGAAAGCCCTTGTTCTGCATGACTGTAGGAGGGTATTTCTGTACACATTCTTCATGATAGTATTTGCCACACAGAGGAAGCAAGCAACGCTTTGCATTCTCCCCGCTATTCTTGCATACAAAACACGTGTGAACTCCTAAGAGAAATCAAGAACAAGAGATGGGTCATTCAAATACAGAAGCAACAACAGCCAACGTTTATAATTAAGTAAGTCATCCAGAGAGAAGGTCTCCAAAGAGCTTAATTATATTCTAGTCTAGATCAGCTGACCACAAGGCCATCTGTTCCCCATAGGAAAACCACTTGTTTGCAACAAGTTCAAACGCTTACCTAAGAATGTAAGAACCTAAGCAATGCCCTGCTGGATTAGACCGCTGGACTATCTTGTCCAGCGGTCTACTCTCACAGTGGCCAGCCAACTTTACAAGGAAGCTCAGTAGCCTCCAGCGAATGTCCTTCAGAGGCAGTCACACAGTCATCAAGGCTAATAGACATTGTTCCCCATGCTTTCCATTAATTAGTCCAGCCCTTTTTGGAAGGGCTGTCAAGCTGATAGACAGCATCACTTGATAGTACGTTCTTTCCATCCACCCAGTACTGTACCTGTGGAACACTCAGTGCAGATAAACTTGCCCTTCGGCATTTCTGAGAGCCCGAGGCACTGCAGGTGGAAAGCACCACAGCACTGAGCTTCACACAGCAACAATTCACCTGGCTTTTCACAGATCTGCATGTAAATGAACAGTATGTCACCATAAGCTGTTGTTGTTTTTTGTATGTACAATAATATACAAAACACCAGTTGAAACTTCATTTAAAAATATTCAACAATACATTTTCTTACGTAGATAGATTACATAGGTAATTTAAACGATTTCAAAAGTTAAATTTAAGTCCATTCCACAAGACGAAATTTAGCTTAATTCCCATATCTCCTTTTCCTGACAAATGTGTTTACGTGCATTTCTTATCTACCGTAAAGTCAATAGGAAAACATTTTATACACTGAAACATAAGGGAGCCGGTTCCCAGAGAGGTCACTAAGGAAATAAATAAAAAGAGTGGACAGCTATTAGGCAGGGGAATTCAACAGAGAAGAGGAAAAAGGCAGAAAAGAGGGAAAGAAAAATTGGAAGAGCGGGAAAAACTGGAGAAACCAGTGACTGATTGCTGCTGCTGGCTGCTTCCTGGGTGTTCCTGTGTTTGCTTGCTTAATGTTTCCTGAGTAATGTTGAGGTGTAGCTAGAATTCTGTTAGCTGGGGTATGGGTAGAGCATCTTTGTAGGACATATACAGGAAAGCCAGTTAGTCAGAAACAAACTTTTTAAATTGTTTGTTGCTTATTGGAACATAGCGACAGTGAGGAGCTCTCATGACCTGCTGTGGATATGTCATATTTGGGTTTTTTTCCCCCTTTGAGACAACTACATACTATAAGTGTAAGCTGACTCCTCTCCTCTGGAAGAGAAGGCCAAATTATCTACCACTTGGGTTATCGGGGAAGATGGAGAATTTTTAAATCAGGCACAGGAAATATTCACAATGGGATTGCAGCATCAAGAAGACTCCCAGAAGCAGCTTACTGAAAGAGCAAAAATAATGGAACAATTCCCCAAATTTTTTACAGGTAGTCCTTGACTTATGACAAGTCATTTAGTGACCATTCAAAGTTATGAGGGAGCTCCCAAGGGATCTTACAACCTAGTTCTGAAGTTGTGACATCCCCTCACCCAGTCACATGACCATATTTTGGGTGCCCAGCAACCAGCTCACATTTACAGCAGTTTGCAGCATCCTGCAGTCACATGACTGCATTTTATAGTATGAGTGAACCACCTTATGACATATGCCTGTGATGGACAGGTTCCATTATGGTTGTATGTTGAGGACCACTGGTACACCTGCTGAAAAATATCCCTTCCTAGCGATCTACATAGGAGCAGGCAACACAACCAGTCAGAGCCTTGAAGACACTACAAGGTGCTATGAAATACAGATAGATTGGGTGAAGGAAATGAAGAAACAGGTGTGTTTTTTTCACTTCTTCCTGTTGTAGAGCATAGCCCAGTCAGAAAAAAAAAATACTGGAAGTGAGCAATCTGTGATGCAGATAGTGTGGAATGGAAGCAATTTTGATACTTAGATAATGAGACCTATTTCCAAGGTAAAGGATTCTGGTAAGCTGACCCACAAAGGAATGGGGAAGAAAGTGTTCGGAAATCACCTTGCAACTCTCATCTGGAGAGCTTTAAACTGAAACCTACTGAGGTGGGATGAGTGGGGGAAGAGATCCCAGAAAATAGTATGATGCCATGTATTGAGACCAAGAGGAATAAGCAGGTACTCAGTAATGAACAACTTAGTAGCAGTAAAATGGACCTCATTGACAGAAATCCTTAGATCAAGGAGAGTGCACAGTATTCCATGAGGGAAAAAAATGGGGGCAAGAAGCTTAAGAAATCATTATGAATATATAGGGAGCTTTTAACTCAGCTAGGAGTTAAAAGTAACAGATATAGGAGAAACAGAAGGGATAAGCAAAGAGATAATCAGCAAAGGCGGAAAGAACATTAGTAACCCTAACATGCAAATGGAACAAGCTTGTAAGGGAAGCTGAAAGCAACAAAGCAACTTTCAGGAACAAAAGATCATGATGACAGTAATGATGATGATGATGACGACTTCAAATTTATATCTATCCAGTCCCATAATTCTGGGCAGTTTGCAAGTACAAATAAATCTTGTTTGCAAAAGTGCATTTCAGAGCAAAAGAGCAATGAGAACAAAAGCAGTTACAATACAAACACTCTATAACGAATTGAGGAACGTGGGATGTTTCTGGTTGTCTAATTGTCTCAAGCCACCTTCACAATGGCTACGTTAGGACAAATGTTGGAGGCTCCTACCTGACACACATTCTCCTTGAGAGCAGCTCCTCCACCTCGTTCCCCCTGCATCTTTTTGGACGAAGGCAACCCAGGTTCATTGTCTTCCTCAGTAGTTTCCTTCGGGCTTCCAGCTACTCCATGAGATCCATCACCCTTTAAAAAGAAGGAAAAGTAGAGATTTTAAAACAACCAAAACCACGTATTTAATGTATCCCTAGTAGGTTTCCAGATGTTCCATCGGCCATTACACACACATGAAAGTTTAACAAATGAGTTTAATTCTTCCACTCATGTGAACATTTTCATTTTTAAAATAAAACCCAAGTAAATGACAGCACCATTCGCAGCATAAAAGGGGGGGGGGACATTTTATAAAGTATATGATTTTATATCAATATAAAGTAAAAAAAACCTGAGACACTGTAAAGATTCTTGAGAGCCCCTTGGACTGCAAGGAGGTCAAATCAGTCAATCCTAAAGAAAATCAACACTGACTGTTCTTTGAAAGGGACGGGTGTTAAAGCTGAAGATTAAATATTTTGGCCACCAAAGGACAAGAGAGGACTCATTGAAAAAGACTCTGATGTTGGGAAAGACTGAAGGCAAAAGGAGAAGGGGACGGCAGAGGATGAAATGGTTAGGTAGTGTCATCGACACAACAAACGTTGAGTTTGGGCAAACTGAAAAGACAGTGGAAGATGGGGGCCTGGCATACTGTGATCCACGGGGTTGCAAAGAGTTGGACGTAACTCAGTGACTGAACAACAACAGATACTATTATTGGACACCGCTCAAATTTCAGAACAAAATTACCCAACCCCCCCTAGTTTACCCTGATCATATGACTTGTTTCAACAATATCCTTTAAAATGAACACAATTAGGATTTTTAAAAACAAGTGCCTAGTTTAGCAGGAAAATATTTGTTGGCAAAACAGTATTTATTAAAATGTCCCTTCTTATATGTTGTTGTTATAAATATAGCAAAAGTTTATTCAATGGAAAAGCAATCAAAACTGCAAAGTCACATCATACAAAGCTTAGCAGTACCTCAGTGTTTGGAGTTTCCTCCTGGGTACTGTCACTCTTTTCTTTTTTACAGGGAGTTGCTGCCAAACTGCGTCGCTGCCGCTTTCTCTTCCTCGGTTTCCCAGGAACTTTTTCAGGAGCTGCAGCAAGGAAGACCACACATTTGGAGCTGTATGGAATTACAAGACAATTCTGGCATCCCCAGTCCCCACTAGACAATTTTGGCATCCCCAGTCCCCACAAGACAATTCCAGCATCCCCGGTCCCCACAAGACAATTCCAGCATCCCCGGTCCCCACAAGACAATTCCGGCATCCCTGGTCCTCAGAACTGAATACCATAATTCAATTTAGGGCACCTTCTTTTAATTGAGCAAAAAGGACTTCAGCAAATTTTGATTCCTCTTCGGTGGCTATATAGAAAGTGGTAATGACAATGTATATGTATTCCATATTTTGGTTCTAACAGTTCGAAAAATGTGTCTGTCAATTTACAAACAGTACACCATACCAATTCTGTAGGACCACTGTGGAATAAATACTTTATCTGTGAATTAGCAGAGTCCAAGTAATTACCTAAAAACTGCATTCAAACAGAGAACAATAGTGGGACAGTGTTTTAAATAAGCTTGTAGTCAGAAGTTACAAATGATGTTGTTGAAAAGTTGTAAGTGACTTTGAAAGACCAACCATTGCTTGGTGCACACTATTTGCTTGGAAAATTTAACTCTTTTAACAGGCCTCTCTTCTCTGTCTAGTAACCTTTCCCCTCCATAATCTCTATAGTGTTTTATGTCTCTTTTCTCTGCTTCCATTCTTAATGCAACTGCCCTTCCATCATCTTTCTCCTCCTTCTTACTGTTTTTGCTGGAAGGAGAGAGCAAAAGATGAGAATACCTGACCATTTCTGTATATGAAAACAAACAATCAAGCAAATGTGGAATTATATTTTTCCTACCTATTCTTCCTTTGTAGGGCATTTCATCTTTAATGCAGACAATTTACTTCTAGATAAATGCAGTGGTTTAAGAATCTCTTTGAAAACTACATATCAAAATTAAGGAATCACCTCAATTGGCTGTGGATGTCTCATCCTTTAGAACATAACCAAAAAAAGTCTGGTTGGAGCTGAACCTCTCAAAAGTTAAGTCAAAGAAGACTTCTGATTCTCACACAACCTCCTTCTCTTCATATGTTCATGTTTTTGAATGTTCCTGAATTATTCCTCAGAATGTTCCTGAGGAATTCCAGGTAGAGCCAAGATTTCATTTTAAATCAGTTCAGTCTAATGAGATAAAAATACAGTTCTTTTTATTGAGCTCAGTTTACACTTGGGTCATACGTACACCATAGCTGATGGATTCTGAGATGCAATTCCAAATCCTGGCTCAGTTTAGCATTATTTACTCATGCATGTACTTCTTACCTTCGACAGCATTTGAAAGCCGAGATGTGGAATAAAACTCAGGCATTTCAGTATCCAAAGGACCAGCCTCAGAACACTGTGGATAAGCACCATTGATAATTTAGAACATGAAAACATATTGTTCTACAAGGATATATTTTTTTACTTTGTCTAAAAATGTAGTTCCATTTGATATGTTACAAATTATTTTAAATAAGAAAGATGCAGAAGTGGGGCTGGACAGTGGGATGACATGGATATATAATACATAATGTATTATTAATTTCCTAAATATTGAAAGGTCAGACCCTGAAAATCCTAGCTCTATTCGTGCAGCCTGTCAGAGTAATTCAGTCAAATGGGCATCTAGCTTAATGATCACTATACTCAATGACTAAGATTCCAGTCCCAGTTGGTGTCATAAGTCAAGGACTACCTGTACAACATACAACAGTGAAAGAACTGTAACAGTCGACTTCCGGTTTTGCGCCGTAGCAACGCAGTCAAGGGATTGCGGCGCTCCACACCCCACAACTGGTTTTGCCTTGCCAGGGAACCCTAAATGAGTCTAAAGTTGCCCTGGAGAGGTGATGATGAAGGGGGCCCCCCCATGGATCACGGAAAGATGGCGGTCAATCCATTTAATCCAGGGGAAGCCCTCTAACCCAACAGGAGAAAGGCTAGCTGCGTAACTAACCCAAGCTACCCAAGTGACTAACCCAAGCTACCAGCAGCCAAAGTCCAAAAGCACTAACCAGAACAACGGTGAACAGCGTGCTTGGAACTGGGTGAGAATATCGATCTTCTTTTTTCTATTTTGTAACTGACTTACTGGAAAAGATCCCCAAGAAGCAAAAAAATCCTCCGAAAGTGAGAAGGAAGGGACCACACCCCCACCCTTCCATAGACGGAAGCGGCAATTTAATTTTTATGGGGGGCAGAAATATATTGAAATGAAGTTAATAAACTACAGTCTGGATAAATCGGAAAATTAAGAAAGTCATTAAGATTTCACATCTGAAAGAGTATTGATGAAATTACTAAAAAATAACTCTTTGTTTTAAAAGTTGGAAAATGAATAGCTACTGACATCTAGTGGAGGATTAGAGCATAGAGCAACAGCCACCTATTACAGATTGAGAACTATTTTTGTTTTAAAAACTGCTGACCTTCTGGGATTATAAATATTTACTGAGCTGTGATCTTTAAGCTCAAGAATTGTTTGCAGAAAAAGAAAAACCTTGACTCTTGGCTAATCTTCTAGGGGGGAATTTTACTGGATGGTTAAACATTCTGGACTGCAATTTTGGCTGGCTGATAAACTGTAAGACCCCTGAATAGAAGAACTGTTATAAAATACTGCTTTCAGTGGTGCTTTGACAATTGGAAACGTATTGGAGTATAAAAACCATATATAAAAATAAGAACTATATAAGGTTTGGTTGTTTGGACTTTAACATTGGCTGGCTTAAAAGGCTAAAAATAGAGACTATGGTACCGGTGAAAGAATATCTGGAGGGGGAAGATAAAATGGATGTTGCATACCTATCTAAAAGTGGCATGAAACCACACCTAACATCTCCTTCTCAAGGCCCCAGCCTGGAACATCAGAGATCTGCAGGAGCAATACTTCAAGACAAGGCAAATACTTTCCAGAAGGAAATGTATGCAATACTGCAACAGATTCAAATGACAATGGTTTCAAATCATGATGAGATTAAAAAAAACTTTGACGACACAAATGAGCACATTTCTAACCTAAACTTACAAGTAAAAATCTCTCAGAAAACGATGACAAAGAATGAACAAACAAACCAGATAACAGAACACAAACCAGAGGACAGTGACTCAAAGAGGGAAGCTACAGATGAAGAGAACTACAGCTTAATACAAATAAAAGAAAACTTGCAAGATTTTGCCACAATGGAAATGGAAAAGATATCTTATTTTTCAGGGCTTCAAAATAAACTTGAAGATTGGAAATATCTAACAAATGGACTATAGAGCAGCCAGGAGAATCATTAAAGTGGGGGAGACAACAAACACATGTCCTATCTAACTTGTCTTTCCTATTCCCAACAACATTTACAAAAATACAGAAAGAATCCCCTTGCAAGTTGACCACACTGACTTGGAAAGCTACCTGGCAAAAAAAGAAGGCTAGAATTAGATTCAAGAGATTTCATTCAACTTACCAGATGGAGTACTATATGATTAAACACTTGTTTGAATATGGTTAAAAGAATAGATAAATTATGGATATAAAGGGGTCCCCACAGTAAGAGGGATAAGATATACAAGTAGTATAGTATTTTTTATAATATATGAAATGTAAAAATATTGGGATGGGGTATGTGAATGAAAAGTTTGGATATATAAAGGGGTCCCCACAGTAAGAGGGATAAGATATACAAGTAGTATAGTATTTTTTATAATATTATGAAATGTAAAAATATTGGGATGGTGTATGTGAATGAAAAGTTTGGCCATTTCAAGGTTATTAACTTTGAGAAAATTATGACTGATAAGAATGGTTTGAATACAGAGGGGAAATTAAGCTTAAATAAGAATCTTGAAAACAGGACATATAGTGACTTAATAAGATGACTTTTATAAGAAAAGATGCTATATGTTGATGTTACTGTTATTTGTACAAATATAAGAAAAAAGGTTTATATCCAACTTTATATGTATCGAAAATTTTAAGAATTATATTAGTTTAATGTTGACAAAAGGAGAATACTATTCGATGAAGAGAAGATCAAAGAAATATATCATTAATTAATATATTGATTATGGAACTATAGAAATTAAGTATTATTGATTGTTTTTTAAATATATGACACCACGCTGTTTACTAAGCACTAAACACCACGCTGTTTACTAAGCACTAAAGAATGTTATTGCAAAAAAATCAATGAAATATTTTTTTTTTTAAAAGTAAGAACTGTAACAGTCACTATGCAGGAGCGATAGGCAGAAGACTAGCAGAGTGCATCCATGAATATCAACTAGCAGTAAGAAGACACATTAAGAAGAAAGTTCCTTAATCTCACAACATATAGACAGACTCAACACTGGTTTCAACAGGGAAACTGTCAGCATTCTAGACCAAGCTAAATCCAAAAACATGACAGAATTCTTGGAAGCTTGGTATTCAGTCAACAGGGACATAGAAATAAACAACATCATTCAAAAGAAACAATTAAAAAACTAAAAAGAAAAGTCATACCAGAATATCTCCACACTAGCAATCAATACCCAGATAAACAGGGATTGATATCAGGAGTAACACCAGACAAATAATCAAGCAATAAACAATGCCCTAATCAAGGAACTAGCAACTTAGACAAACAAGGAGTAAACAATAGCCTAATCAAGGAACTACTAAAAAGAAAACAGCACCCCCACCAACACTGACAGGGAAAGCTACTGTCTAGCAGTATACATATAACAGAGCAAACTCCACTTTCTTCCAGCACTGAAATTTCTGCAAGGAAGCATCCAGGTTCAGAGAGCAGTAACAACTTCATACAAAAAGTATCTCTCCCCTCCCTTAGTTTTACTCACCCGAAAACTAGGAATGGTCTTTTCTAGGATACCTTTTCCACTCCCACCCCTCCCCTTTGGACTCAGATTTCATTGAGCATGCCCAATTAGTGATATCTGACTCCTAAGAATGGGCACAATTCACAAAGGAAGTTCAGTTCCAATCCAGGTTTCTTTACCAAATAGTTCACAAGTCAAGATCACCATGTAGTAGTGAAATCCCTGTCCATGTACGCACATGTGTTTAAGAGAATATGCAATGGGAATACCATACATCATCTTCTGAATTATATTACATGGATTTTTCCCATCAGCTCCTATGTGCTAATCAAACATATGCTGTCTAAAATTTCATACTTCTGTAATTTATTTAGTTATTGATTAATGTTTTGAGTAGTGTGGTGGCCTAGTGATGAAGACTCTTGGCTCTCACTCAGAAGGTTGAGAGTTCAATCCTAGGTAGCGGCAGATGCTTCTCTCCTAGGGCACAAAGAAAATATATCTGCTGCAAACTCTGTATGGCATCAGGAAGGGCATCCAGCCACTAATGCTCAGCTCCATCCAGTCAACTCTATCCCTAATTAAGGGATTACAGGGTCGTAAAAAAGGAGTGTTATTGATTGATCAAATCTATACAGGTGCACAAGGCAACTCTGGGTGGTGCACAATAGCTTACAACAGAACATATACAAACAGCAAGTACAGGTATAAAAACAATAATAATAAATATAAAAACCCAAAAGACAAACCATAGGTGAAGGAGAATAAAAAACATCTCCTTAACAATGGAGCCATCTAGAAAAGTCTCTGGTTCCGTGGAAGCCCTAAGTCCAGGTCTTAAAAGTAACTGACTTTCAGAGTAAATTTTAAGTGTTATTTTTAAACTGAAAGAAAGATCAACTTACCTTCTTTATAGAGGTCCACTCTCTCTTTGGTATAAATGTCGTATCCAAATCATTGGATTCTAAGAGCTTTTTTGTTGGCTTTCGCTGCCGTTTACTCTCAAAGCTTCCTAAAGAAAAATGTATACATAGCAGTAACTTCACTGGATTAAAAAAACAGTCTCAAACAACTAGAATAATGGTATAATTTATTAAGCATTTTTCCTAACAGAAGGGAAAAAAACCAAGAATAAATTAAAATATCCCAAATTATTCAGCTGCAACTTTTGTAACTACTGATGAATGAACTCCTTGAAGCCCAATCACCATACTTTCCTGTTTCTCTATTATAAAATCTAAAACAAGTTAAAATGTCAGTATTTCCACTTGTACAATCCACTTGAGAGAAAAGTGCTACTATGCAAGGTCCAGTTCCAGCAATGAATCAGTTAATGCCCTTGGGCTGCAGAGAACTGGATGTAAATGCTCTTCCACCATGTATGACCTTGGAGAGTCACTCCCTCTCAGCCTTTGGGAAAAGCCAATGGCAAACCAATTCTGAAAAATCTTGCCAAGAAAACTGCAGGTTCAGGCAGCCTCTGTGAACTGGACAGGATTGAAGGGGGGAAAAACAAATAATAAATTCACTTTTGCCAAAGTTTCATTGTATTGTTTTCATTGTTAATTTGTATTGTTTGGATTTTTAGGGGAGTTGTGTACATTAAGATTATGCTAAAAGGGATGTGCAATGGCAAAAAGTTTAGGGACCCCTCCTATACAGTAGTAAACCTCTATACCAGGGGTAGGCAACCTTGGCTCTTTTATGACTCGTGGACTAGCATAGCTGGCTCAGGAATTCTGGGAGTTGAAGTCCACGAGTCATAAAAGAGCCAAGGTTGCCTATTCCTGCTCTATACTCTTAATATACTGCAAAGCACTGGTTTTATGGACCTAAAGCAGGGATGTCAAACTGCCAGCCCGTGGGCCGGATGCATCATGCCAAAACTGTGCCCACCCCATTGCCGGCAATGGGGAAACAGTCGCAATACATCACGATACGTCACGTGATGTTGCGAGTTTGACACCCCTGACCTAAAGCATCTTTACCTGTGGATTGATGGCTCTCGGGGAAAGGGAGATGTAAGAAAAACTAAAGCCATGTCAAACATGAAAAATTCCAGATCTGGCTGGATTCATTCCTCTTAACAGGTTGTTTTACCATAATTAATCTAACTAGCAAGTTAGAAAATGTAAGAGTACCACAGTGATTTTCTTATGCTTAGTGGAACAGAAATGCTTGGAAACAATAAAGTAGAATACATTCCATATTCACACTAAAATGTTTTTCAATATTTACATAGTAATTAATGTAATTCTCAAAACATTACAAAAAAAACCCGTTATAAACTGACATTTTGTAAGCTAGAAGTCTGAAAATTGTACTTATGCATTTTGTCAGAGTTATAAACACCGAGGCACACAGAATTATATACATAAGTAATATTTTTAAACAAGTAAAATTGTGAAGTGGAATGCTTCCAAAAGAATACACAATTTATAAAGGCTTTCTCTTTCTCAAAACCTTTAGTTGTTAAATATTTCTAGTACCTATTTTAATGTTAATTTTAACCTGGGGTGGGATGAGATGTGTTTGTTTGTTTGTTTTATTTAAATGATATTACTTCAATATTTGCCTGGGTAGAAAGGCAAGGTATAAATGAAATCCACCCAATAAATACTACAGGCCGTGTGAGTCTGGATGGGGAGGAACAGGCTTCGACTCAACCCGTCCAAGACCGAGTGGCTGTGGTTTCCGGCGTCACAACATAGCCAGTTGGCTCCATCCCTGGCTATCGGGGCGAGTCATTAGCCCCCGCGGAGAGGGCCCGCAACCTGGGTGTCGTCCTGGATACTCGGCTGTCTTTAGACGACCATGTGACGGCCGTGGCCAGGGGGGCTTTTCATCAGGTTCGCCTGATACGCCAGTTGCGCCCCTTTCTGGATCGTGACGCTCTACGCACGGTCACGCAAGCCCTCGTTGTTTCCCGCCTGGACTATTGCAACGTTCTCTACATGGGGCTCCCCTTGAGGTGCACCTGGAGGCTCCAGCTAGTTCAGAATGCGGCCACGCGGGGGATCCTGGGGGCCTCTAGATACTCCCATGTAACACCTCTCCTGCGCGAGCTGCACTGGCTGCCTGTGGCCTTCCGGGTGCGCTTCAAGGTGTTAGTAACAACCTTTAAAGCGCTCCATGGCAATGGACCTAGGTATTTGCAAGACCGCCTCNGGCCAGACAATGCCGGCTGGCGACCCCCAGGGGGAGAGCCTTCTCTGTGGCAGCTCCTGCCCTCTGGAATGACCTACCCCCCGACCTACGTACAGTTGCGGACCTGCGCCTTTTTCGCCGAGCCCTGAAGGCCCATCTATTCCATGCGGCCGGCCTGGCATAGTTTGATTATGTTTTAGTGGGGGTTTTGTATGGGGTACTTTTAGAGCAGGCCTGTTATTTAATTTGATTTTAGAACAGAAACTTGTGTATATTTATCGTGGTTTTTATTATCGCCTGTTCACCGCCCTGAGTCCCGTAAGGGAGATAGAGCGGTATATAAATTCAATAAATAATAATAATAATAACTTAGATTTTCAAATGGAGTTACACAGAAAATGTATCTTGATACCTGGTTTCATTATTGGTTCTTCTCCCTGTGAATGGGAATCAGCAGCAGAGGCAACAGATTCCAACACATTTGGTGAAGATAACGTCAAAACTGGCATTTCTAATCTTGGTTCCCTGGAATGGACATCAGGCTCATCTGACAGAGGACGCTCAGCTTCAAGGACTGGAGGAGATTCTTTTGATGAAGAAGCGGATGAAATGGAGTCCAAGGGCTTCTGCTCCAGATGTTTATTACGTGCTTGTTTCTCAATGTTGCTTTTCTGTTTGGTTTCAGACCTCTCCAGAGAACTTCTCTATTAGCAGTGATCAACAAAGAAATAGTGGTCACAGCAATACCAGGAATCAGTGCTAATCATGAGCAAAGCTATATAGGATATGACCATATTTCAGCATATTTTAGGTAGCAGTCAATGAAAATAAAGTTTTCTTTTGGCTCTACTAGGGAAAGCAATTGTGCAGGCATACAATAAACTTCTGGTTTTTTTAAAAAGTAAGATTAAAATGAGAAATAATGAAGGCACAATGTTTCCATTACATGGTATTTCCATAACTAATATTCCTTCTCTCCCCCAATAAATTACACGCCATGATAAAAGTATCGTTAGGCTAGAGGTTTCTCTGACTTTCTTCTCTGACCAGCGATAACCAATAAGTGGGAATGAGAGAAGCAATAAGTTGATGACTTTGGATCATGGAGTAGACAGTTCTAAGAATGAGGGGAAAAAATAATCACGGTGATGCTATTTGCAAAAGCAACTCCCCGTGTTCCATAAAATACATACTTTAAAAAAATAAAAGACATAACTTTAAAAATACAATTGGTTTATTTTACTGTTTTTAATGATTAAAAAAAGTTACATATTGAGGAAAAACCAGAGATATTAAAACAACTCTTTTAATTCTTTATTTTATTCATAACCAAATGTATTCTTCTTGCCCCTATTTATACATTTAAAGAACTACAATAATCTGACGGTAGTTTAGAGATTAAACATGATGTACTCAAGGTAGATTGGCAAGTACTATAATACTTCTGTGAACAATTTTCTAACTGGTGATATTCTCAAATCCTATTCTTTTGTAGGAAACAATGCATTAGGGAAAAATGAAGGTTGGGGAGGCTGTGCCAATGGGGGGGGGGTTGCGATCGCCGCACTGCGCAAGGGGCAGCGATCGTGACGATCAGCTATCGGCAAGGGCTTGCCTGGGAAAGAAAGGGGAATTGAAAAAGAAGAACCAGTGCAGCGCTGAGCAGAGCTGAACTAGTCCCCCCCCCCACAAGGAAGGTGAAGAATCCCACGGATGGAAATTTACTACCTGTACTCTGAAAGCTAAATCGGGAGCCAAAATTCCACGTCTCTTCAGGGCTGAGACCAAAAGAAACTGGGGCATGGTCAGACCCTGAAGGGGCGTGGCGACTTTGATTGTTGGTCTGATTGGGCTAGAGGACTTCTAAAACCCATCCGTGGATTCTACATTCCTCCACTTGCTGGAGAACAAGCATGATCTAGAAGTAGTTTATTATATTAAAAAAGCTTCCTTTGTGGGAGGAGTCAAATATTTGGGAGTGCTTGGGTCATTTATTGATATTTACTATCCATCCCTTCTCATTCCTATTATAGATACCGTATTTATTCGAGTATAACGCGCACACGTGTATAACGCGCACCCCTAATTTTCGATTAAAAATCGGTATAAAATTTTGTTTCACTTTTTCTCGGCTCAGACCAAGCATTGTAAGTGACAAACGTTGTTGAACACGTGCGGCCATGATAAAAATCATTTATTGACAACGTAAACTATGAACACAATACCGAAATA